TCTGCGTGCTTGTTGTGGTGCGTGTTGAGTGTAGTTAAGATCATGATTAAAGTTGCTATGGTCAAGTGCGTTTTGGTATGCAGGTGCAGATTCCATAAATGTCTGCTCATCTGATGAAAGCATTGCGATGCGCTTGTTAACTGATGTAGGAAGCTGCCTTATAATACTAGGTGGATGGTTAGAGTACCTATTTATGTATAGCGGATCGTCATTGGGCTTTCTATAGGGCCTATATTTTCCGTTGTTAAGATTGAAAGTTACATCTAAAAAGTTTACTATGCGTAAATTTGATTCGGCGGTGATTTTTAGGTCAAACAGCTCGAAAATTTTGTGGAGTTCTTTCCTTGTTTTGTCTGCTAAACGTGCCGATTTACTTTTTATAAGGGCCAAACCGTCGTCTCTATATATGCCGATGCTTTCTTTGCCAAACTTCTTACTTAGGTGATTTAGGATGAAAAGGCCAACTAATTCACATATTTCGGCGCCATCGTGGCTGCCCATGGTAACGTCAAACAAACCTTCACTATCTTTTTTAGTCCATGGTTTTCCGGTGTTGAAAAGCAGAGATTTTCTGGCGTGTTTTATGATCGAAATGTCATTATCCGAAATGGTAGCCAAATTAGAAGCCCAAGATAATGCTTGGTCCAAACGTTTTTCAGAAATGGATGGGCAAAAATCAACGATGTCAAACGAAATAAAACTGTGCCTTTCTTTGTTTTTTATATTTCCAAACCACTCAATTACTTGTTTTGTATTTCTCCACTGGTTCAAATTCAGTTTTTGTCTCAAATTGGAATTAATCTCATCTAAAATAATTTTGCTCAATTTTCCTGATTCGCTTTTAGCGGGATTAATTAGTCGGCATTTTGGATTGTTTTCGAAATTTTCTTTGTGGTCTTATAAAGTTATAAATGCTTCACGTTTTTTCATTTTTTCGATTTTGTCGCCCATTCCTAAATTGTTCGAAATGCCTTTTAGTTCAAAGTCAATTTCATTTATAGTGTCCTCGGATCCATGTTTATATGTTTTTGTAATGTCATAAATATTTCTAGTTTTGTCTGCAAATATGAAAATATTGGGAGATGAATTAATAATTTTCTTCAAATCGTTAGCCAATGATTTCTGAAAATGGTTTTCCCTGATCGAAATTGTATATTTTTGATGAGTTTTAGATGGTCGGTTTCGAAAGGTTTCATTTCGGGATCAAAGGAGGTGTTTTGTTGGACGCAAGGTCGAAATGGTTGTTTTGGTTTTTATTGATACTGTTTTTATTGAAGAAATGAGCTTTCCATCTCATAAGTTTTATTACACTTTCCACTTTTTCAATCAAATTCTTCAAATAAGCGTCCTGCGATGGTATAAGAATATTCTTTAATAAATAATCAAATCGAAATTGTTTACGTTTGGCTAATCATAACTATATTTTCGAACATAAAGAGCACTCAAACAAAACTGAACTTTCGAAATATATTTGGACATTGAAAGATAACAAAAAAGATTTTAATATCAATTGGCAAATTTTGAAACGCGCTATTTCGTATACGGGAGGATCAAAACGATGTAATTTATGTTTAGAGGAAAATTTTGTATTTTGAAAGAAAACCAAAACTGTTTACTCAATAAAAGAATGGAAATTATATCTACGTGCAGACATAGGAAGAAATTTCGCGTAAACAACGCAAACAATACACTCCCGCAATTCGATTAGGCATTTCCGCGTAAACAACGCAAACAATAGATGAATGCATGCTTTGTTTCACCCACACACCCCCACGTTCCGGCCAAAACACATATAAGCAGCCCTATTTTCGAAACTTGTCATACCGCCTGATGATTCTTTACTGATGAAACAGACTGTTGCGGAATTTTGAGGTAAGCGAAATTATATATATATATATATATATATATATATATATATATATATATATATATATATATATATATATATATATATATATATATATATATATATATATATATATATATATATATAGTATATATATATATATATATATATATATATATATATATATATATATATATATATATATATATACATACATATATACATACATATATATGCAGAATGAAAGTAACTGCTATTTACAGTTACCTTTGATGCCTCACGATTGTGGGACATCAAAACCATGCCAGAGCGCTCAAACTGCAAGCAGTGCGCAATGTGTAAGCAGCATGGCTCATCCTGTAGAGCGCTCAATATGACCCAAAGGCCATAGAGTGATATCTATTATATATATTATATATTATTATTATATATATATATATATATATTATATATTATAATATAATATAATAAATATATTATATATATATAGTTTTTCATTTTACCTCAAAGAACCACAACAGTTTGTTTCATCCGTTTATATAGGAATCATCAGAACCTGATTATATATATATATATATATATATATATATATATATATATATATATATATATATATATATATATATATATATATATATATATATATATATATATATATATATATATATATATATATATATATATATATATATATATACAGCTAATTCAAAAAGGTTGTCCTTTGCAAACCTTAAACTCTAAATCTTAAACCTTAAACTCTAAGCGCGCAAAGCATAATGGGAGTACTGATTTCAACCTTTGTAGTTGAATATTGCAGCTGTTTGTCAGTAAAATGTTTTCGCAGGCACATATTTACCATGTCTCTAAGAAATGGGCTCCATGTATGCTTTCTAAACTGCTTAAATAGTGCTCCCATTACGCTTTGCGCGCTTAGAGTTTAAGGTTTAAGGTTTTAGAGTTTAAGGTTTGCAAAGGACAACCTTTATTGAATTAGCTGTATATATATATATATATATATATATATATATATATATATATATATATATATATATATATATATATATATATATATATATATATATATATATATATATATATATATATATATATATATATATATATATATATATAGGTTTTTGTATACGAAACGCAAAGAGTGCTCAATACCATAAAGACAGAGCAAATATAGAACTTCGCTTACCTCAAAATTCCGCAACAGTATGTTTCATCTGTAAAGAATCATAAGGCGGTATATCAATGTAGAGCGTTTATAGTCGTGTATATCTCGCACTAACAGCCTGATGTTGGTATCAACCACTGATCATCAGCTGTATAATAACTGGAGGACTGCTCCTATATACTTCCTTCAGTCAACAAAGTGAAATCCCCAAAAATCTCTACAAATCCTAAAAATCCAATCGGTCTGCCACAAAACAAAGTATTAATTAGCCTTTTTCCAAACGGGATCACAGTGCATTCTAGGATCGTTTGCAGGGACAAAATTATAGTGACAGGCGTCAAATATATGTGAAAGATTATACTGCATTAAAGAGCACATACGATTGTGGTGATGCACGAACTTTTAAAACGATTTGCCCGAAATGCTATAGAGCAAGGATTTTAACGAACTCGATGAACTGTTATTCTTAGTCTGCCTGGTTTAATTGTTGTTTGTATTATTGATATTTGTCTCTTACCGTTTTGGGCCCTCAGTAATTGGTTTCAGGCTGTTGCGGATACCCTACAATCAACTCAGTTTATGCCATTGTATTATGTATGTGCGTGTGTGCGGTGTGCTATTTCTGTACAGTAGTGATGGAAAAGCAATTAAATTAGAGTATATAGTATCTACTATCAAAATCAACTTTTCAGACAACCAAAAATGAAATATCTCCTTTTTACATTATTTAAATGTATGCTGCCATATTTCTTGTCTCTCGAGCTCCAACATGGGATTTGCGCGACTAGACCCAGGAATTTGGGAAATGGCTAATTGAACAAGACGCTCTGTAGAGCGTTAAGTCGCTGGGGCTATAGAAATAAGCATATATTTAAGATGAATATATATAGCATGGTCTAATTGCCATAAGGCAGTTTTCCAGTCCTCGCATGAAGCTCCTCGCAGCTCGCTGCGAGTGCTTGCATCTAATTAAAATTAACTGTTTAGCATTGTGATTGGATGAAAGTGCTCGGCCGACAAAGATATCAAATCTCTATGAATAACTGAAAATAATAAAATACTGGTATATACCACTTTAAATTCTTGTTGCTAGACACCGTCTCGGTTTCCTTCATTTATGCAAACGCGAATAGCGAATTTGTTTTAGTCGACAACAATAATTTTGCAACGTTTGCTTTAACAGTACAACTAAAACCCAAGTTGCCAAAGATAGACGTTACATGAAATACTCATTTAATAGTTGCTTGAGCACCAATCTCGTAAGACGAAACAAATCCAACCATGTGGACTTTTAATGGCTCATACCCAACCTAAAAGTTAAAAACTAAATGAAAAGGTAAGATTGATGCAACTGCAGTCCATATCATTCTGTATTTAGTTCCGCAAATCCCTCATATAGTCCAGAAAAACAGAATTTTGCTGGTGTCTCTCGGCGGGGTTTCTTCCTGAACTTGTTTTTCAGCCGTGTAACAACATTGCTTTTTATGATGAAGTGTTTCTAAAATTTAGTTATGCTGAAAGACCAGTTGTGAATTCCGTGAATTTCCGCGTAGGGGCCTGGATCAAACCTACAAGACGGGTTTCGATTTTCGCAATCTTGGCTTCAAAATCACATCCCGAGTTATCGTTCCATCCTGCATTATTGCGGAAAGCTCACGCGACTGACGAGGTTTGTTTCTTTTTTTCTAACAATCAGATTCGCCATACGAATTTGTTTTTTAAAATAACCGTTTTCGCAATATTTAAATGTTGTTCGAGAATCAAAGTTTTCTCTGTTTCACGATAACGCAATGAAATTTTATTGAATTTCAAACAATTTTAGTCATCATGCCTATTACCACTAATTATTGGGCTTTCTATGATCGACCCAGTATTTATATAGTTATTAGCTAGAATGTTAGGGTTTGTAATCCAAGTGAGAATATATACATTTTAAGACCTAACCAGGAACTACTGCGAAAAATGCAGCACAAGGTCTTCTGGTAGGAATTGAACCTACGGCCCTGCGATTCCGGTGCAGTGCTCTAACCAACTGAGCTACAGAGGCCAGGCTGTTGAGCTGTATCCGTAAGTTCATGTATATATAGGTGATCGGGTGTGCGGGTTGTGATAAGGTGGACTTCAATGATCTGGATTCTTGCACTTCACTTGGTGGAATTAATCTTGTTCCACGCGAGAAACTAAAGGGACGCGAGACGAGCTCAATTTATCAGCCAATCGGAAACAAGGTTGATATCTCCACGCAAGGACGGGAGAGCAGTCTTTAGCACTTTTTTCCATCCAGCAAACCGCCCTATCGATTTTGTAAAGTCGTTTCTTTTTGGATTATTTTATTAATTCGGTTAGTGCTACATGGCCATTTAACACCTCTTCTATTTAGGATATAGTTACACGACCCCATCAGCTTATGCTGTAAATATCTATCGTGTTAAAATAAATGCTATTATTATTTTTATTATTATTATCTTGCGAAAATGACGTCAGGTCAGTTTGCTGGATGGAAAATAGTGCTAACCGAGAGAAGTACGTCTGCAATTCTGCGAAGGAGTGATTCCACGAATAGCCTACTATTTGCGACACGTTTCTTAAGCATTCTTCATGCTATAATTTTACCTAGCTTTGAACGTTTAAATATAGGAAAGTTGTATTTTAATAGCGCGATATGTTATTCATCTACTGAGCGTTCACTATATGACCTATATTATTATCAAAGTATGGCAACTGCTGTGGTCGAGAAACCGGAAGTGATGGTTAGAGATCAACTTATTCCACTTCAAGAGTTTGACAGAGTACGAAATGCTGTTTGCTTATTGAGACCCAATGATCTAAGGTAAAATCAATCACATTAGCCGAGTTAGCACTTGGCAGGAGGACATTTCTAGCGTGATTTTCAAACAAAATGTTTACCATTTAATATAACTACAGTATGAATTTTTATACTTAACGCCTGAATTTTATACTTGATTAATACTTTGATTGCTAGACTGCAGTTTAATGGACACCAGTGGCAGTGTGTTGCTGGCATTAGTCATGCGGACTGTGGCCTTGCTTAATGCAGGTTTTGGCAGCAAAATGCAAAAACCCCCAAAATAATAATTCTAGAGTTAGGGTTTCAGGGTTGGGTTTATTTCCTGTATGGGGCCATTCACAAAATATGTGACGCTTGTGGGGGTAGGGTGTTTGATCAGGAGTCGCATACTGTCACAAGGGTGGGGAGGGGTATCACAAGTGGTATCATGTGACAGAGAAGCATATAGGGGAAGATTTATAACAAAACAAGACCGTGCTTGCAAATATGTGTCCCTTAATGACAAGTCAGTGGGTTTTTTTTTTATCAAAACACTCCTACTGGCATCGCCATGGAATATGGCACTCCCATTTTATTCAACGATCCAGCGAGAACCTGAGTGGGAAATTGTTTAGGCCAAGGTTTTAAGGCATTGAAATAGTGTCGATTTGTAGATAACGTTTTGAATCTGTTGTTGCATATTAAATTGTTTTGTGAGTATATTTGGAGAAGGGGAGTGGTTGGCTCAGAGTTGCATATTTTATGATGAGGGTGTACTGCTAGCTGTCACACACTGTCACAAGGGGGTTAAGGACAGGTAAAAAATGGAGTCACATATTTTGTGAATGGCCCCTACTGTCCGCTACACTGCAGTTGTGATCAATGTCATTTCCCCTGGGGAGAAGGGAAGAATGTGCCTCCCCCCCCCTCACATTTGGATATTCGTAATACAATCTTCAGTAGGTTGTTCCAGGAAAGATTCACCCTGGCCACAAGGGGGAAATTTCTGCCATCTGGAGGGGATATTAGGACATTCGGAGGGGTTAGGGTATTTGGAAGGGTTAGGGGATTGACATTCCAATTTCCTCTGTGGGGGAGGCACGGATGTTTTCTAGAATGACCCAATAGATTATATCTGCTGGGCAGCTTTGCCTCCCCTCACTTTTCAGAATGTATTTTCACTCTTGCTTATAAACTGCAGTTTTTATATTACAGTATATTAACTGTTGACTTATAAATTGCAGTTTTTATTAACCCATTAATGCTCAAGACTCTCCCCTTGACAAATAAAATCATCTGGTGTTAGACAGAGTAAAGTAATAAAGTAGAGTGAATTTGGGCTCATTGCAGCTCAATGGGTTATCTGTCGATCAGTATGACCAGATGGGAGCTATCAAGGAAATCTAAACACTGTCAAAATTGGGAAGGGAACTTTTTCCTAAAACTATCACATGCAACCTGCTTACAACTTCAGTTGTACTGTGTAAATCAAGTACACAGCTCACCCACAACAATGACAAATATTTCAGATGTGTGTTAGTCAGAGTGAAATCAAGTTTGTAAAATTAAAAATTCTAGTTCATATTAATTAACCCTTTAGCACTAGCACTCTTCCATTGAAGGGTAAAATTGTTAGAGGGGTAAAGTAATAAAGTAGTGTGAATAAGGGTGCAATGTAATTTAATTGGGTAACAAGACACATCCATTGTAAGGCAAACCAGGTTAGCATGTTTTGCAGATCAGGCCAGTTTGTCATTTGCTTCCTGCAAACTAAGGCAGACTGGATTACACTGGATGTTGTAAAGGGGAAGAAATGCCTCAGTCTTTATTTTCCAAAATTGCATTGTAATTTTTTGGTTCCAAGTGGTTCCTTTATGGTTACTGCATGTAACATGTCTAAAGGCGGTTTTCCAGTCCTCGCAGCTCGCTGCGAGTGCTTGCATCTAATTAAAATTAACTGTTTAGCATTGTGATTGGATGAAAGTGCTCATGCATGCACTCGCAGCGAGCTGCGAGGAGCTTCGTGTGAGGACTGGAAATCCGCCTTAACACATTGGAAATTTAAGATCTTTAAAATACTGCATAAATATTGGAATAAAGAAACACTTCTTGGTGAAGCAACAGGAGGAGCTACATCAGAAAGCTGCAGAATATTTTGATAGAGGATACAACTACCTGAAATATTGTGTTGGCATCCTTAAATGTACTTGCCCCTTGAAGGAAGCCAACTACCAACCCTACTGGTACTGTACCTCTTCACGTTGTAGGTAATATCAGATAAGGGACCGGTAATTATTTATGGTGGGGGGTGGCACCGAAGAGAAAAGGGTTGGGTAAACTAAATTTTGAGTAAGTAAAAGGTTGGGTAAATGAAAAACAAAACAACTCAAGGGTTGGGTAATAACAAATTATTGTCATTTCCAAAGCATGACTCACTGAAGTATTGGGGACTAAAACGCAATGGCAACAGTAGGCCCTACTCTGGGGCGATAACGAGATAATGCAAGTTTAATTAAGCAAATTTAGGTGATTTAAGCAAAATCTGCAATTTAAGCAATGCGAGTTTGAGCGATATAGGGCAATGTAAGAAAACAATTAAAATTTTAGGGAATGCTGTTTTAGGTGTTTAGAGGTAATTTCAGGAATATACAACTATATCCCTGATGACTCCAATGAAATTACCATTAACCTACGCCAAGCATCCAAACATGAGTGTTCCCACAAACAAACACACACACATGCAGTGTATGAAGCAAAATATACAATTTAACAAAAAAAGTTGAAGTCTGCTTGAGGGGGTTCTGGAAACAAACAATACACTGTATGCGCATGACGATCAAGTGTTTAAAGGGTAAATAAGCTCAATATTCATGACTTTTTCCATCCATTGTCTATTTCGAAGCCATTGGGGTATTATTAAATTCATGACACAACTATATTAATACATGACCACATGTTCACATCATATGCAATTGCAAACAATTTTCAAAGGAGTAGGGTACATAATTGCAATATAACAACATATAAGTAAATTATACAGGTCATGAACTTACCAGTTTGTGTTGAGTTAAATTTTAAAATTTTTATGACATCAAATATTATTTATTTATTTGCAAATCAAAACATTTTAAAATTCTCGTGTTTTGTTTTGTATTGCGCCCGCGATATATTAATGGTATTAACTGCTGTGAATATGATATACATTTTTAATACATTACATTTGCGCTCAAAAGTTCAGGAAGTGAGTTTCTAGAAAGGATGAAAACTCCGTTTTATATATGGTATGTAAAAGGTAATTGTTGTTTACCGTTTATTTTGTATTCAGGTATGGGGAATTTAAGCGATGAGAGTTGCAAAACTTGCAAATGTAGTCTGACTAGTTTCTTTGACGTCATCATTTAATATTGTGCTACATTCATTATTCAATTTATTCATGGCAATTAGCCTTCTATAAGCCATACAAATGATTATAGCTTATAGCCCACCTTGCCTTTAACATTGATCCTATATATAATGAATTAACATAACTAACTTGATTATGTTGCTAGTCGAGTATGGGACCTATGGTTCTTCTAGGACCTTCTAGATCCTCGAGTAGCACAATTAATATAAAGTCTCCGTAAGGCGGTAATATTAAAGACTGTTCTTATTTATGCATGACCTTTGACTATTAAGTGGCCAAAAATTGTGCCTACAGTAATCAACTTATTCCACTATCCAGGTTGCATCACTTTTGATTGCAAAACACCCGGGTTTATTATACATGGATTTGCCAGCAAAATAGCAGCAATTGATGAACTTGGTGTTATACTAAGATTTACTAAATGTGTAAAGAAACAACGAAAAGTATATATCAATCAGAGTCATTATCTTGATCAATTTCCGATGGGATCTCCAAAGAAAGTAGCTACATGTGCAGACAACATGAAACTTCACACTGCAGAAAATTTCACAATCCATTATCAAACTTATGTCACAGAAGTGGTAAAGGACATATGTGACAACTGAATAGTACCTTTTGTAAATTTTTTGGCCAGGGGTGGGTATTTATTTTTTAATTGATATTTGAGGTTGGGTAATCAATTTTGTTTACTTTTTAATGGTTGGGTCAGCAAAATTTTTGCTACGAAAAACATTTCTCTTCGGTGCCACCCCCCGCCATAAATAATGACCGGTCCCTAAAGACATTCTTAGAGCTAGTCAGAATATGCTCTGTGTTTGTGTTATCAACTAAGTTAAAATAAAGTTTAAATAAATAAAAATTTTCCAAAGAGAAAATCCACAGTATTGTGCAGCAGAGACCTACCGTCTGAATAGGTGACACTCTAGCTCAGGCAGAGTAAAACAAACTAGGATGTACTGTAATTGTATTTTGACATGTAGTAGCAGCAACGTTAATTAGGTTAACACGCAAGAGACATGGGCAGATAGTCTGGGCATAGTAGTCCATGATGCTATAACTTTATTTTTATACTTTACCTCTTCTTGAGGAAATTTTTATCATGTATCTTTAATATGTATTTTCTACAGTGTCAAAATATACTACCACATAAGATTTATTTAATTTCTAGCAAGTCATGGAGTGCCACTGGATTCTACGCTATTGTGAAATTGAACAAACAGGATTTTCATTGTATCATGACAAACTACCATGTTTTTCATGAAATGAAAAAACGTGATGATGGCATGGTGGCTGTCTTTCATCATGAGAGCACTGAAAAAGAATCCAATGAATTTTTTCTTCACCCATTCGTATTATTTGCACATAGCAAGGTATGTACCACGTCAAGCATTTTAGTGTATCACCATTTTTCAGTGGCTTGAGGCATCCCTCCCCCACTTAGCCTGCGTGTCAGGCTCTACGCTTGAAATAGAGCCTGCTACTAAAGTCGATGAAAATTGGACAGTCATTTGGATACACGAAAATAACAACCAATCAAAATGGCGCTTGTTAATTAGATTATCAAAGGCAGCTAACTTAAAATATGACAATAACGGCCAATTTTCCCGCCAATATCTCGAAAATAAATATTCAATTTCCATAAAACGGCCAGGAATTACATACTAAATGCTGTGCTAAATGATAATATACAATTATTGGACGAGGTTGAGCAAAATATCGTGATTTATCAGTGGCGAGCAGATCAATTATTTGCCGATGCCGAAGGCAGAGGCAAATAATTGATCTGCGAGCCACTGATAAATCAAGATATTTTGCGATATAGCCGAGTTCAATAATTGTTTTATCATTTACCGATTAGTATTTGTAAATTATTATGGGCACAAGTTAAGTAACAAATACAAGAACAGTCAACGGAAAAAAGTATAATTTAATCTGACATACACAACGTAAAAATACTGTATTGCACAAAAATTGTGATTTTCATAAAATCAAGCATGTAAACAATTTAACTTTTGTTGCCTTTTTTGTGTTTTCGGCGTCTTTTTCTCCAGTAAAGGTACGTTTGCACGCTGCGATTTGTCGGGCCGATTTTGCTCGCTGTATGTAAATAACCTGTCATGAGTACTCGCGTCAGCGCCTTGCGATTCGCAAAATCGGGAGAAAAATCTGTAGCAAAGCACAGATTTTTCTCACGATTCAAGATTTTTCTTCCGTTGTAAAGTTGTTGAAAACTTTTCGCACGCAGAAAGCTATAATATAAACAGACGAGAGAGCGGACAGCTTCAATTGAACGTTTAAATCGCTAAATGTCGAAGAAGGGGCAACGATTATTTGCCAAAATCGGCCCGACAAATCGCAGCGTGTAAACGTAGCTTAAAGATGACAAATCGCTTTCCGATAGCACGCCAAAAAGAGAAGACGATATTTTTAAATTTAAGCTGACGAATCATTTTCAAAGTGCGCATGCTCATTGAAGTATTTGCGCCTGATCGATATTTGCACACAGTTATTTGCAGGTAAATTAACCAATCAATATTGAGAATACTATAAAGTGAATGATAATAACAGTTATTGACCGTGTTTATAGACAGCAAAGGCAGTAATTAATGCGGCCAAAAGTACAATTACAAGTACGGAATATCATATTATGTAAACAACTTGATATTACCTTACAAGGCAAAGCTATTTATTTCTGACCAATGGGAATTTTGCGTACGAGTCGTACGCATAAATCCACTTTTTATTACTTCAGAGACAGAGTTCAGTAGCAGGCTCTATTTCAAGCATAGAGCCTGACATGCAGGTCATCCCCCACTGTTTGTACGTAATACACAAAACATGAGCAGTCGATCTGTATGGGATTGGACAGGTCAAACTCATACCTGAAATTCCATGAAATTCCATGTTTATAGACTATTTTAAAATAATAAGCTATTTTAGCTGGAAAACATCGAACAAAGTGGTTAATTAATATGTTTAGCATGAAAGCAAAATCTGTATTTGATTTGCAGACGTTAATTAAACATTTATTTATTTTGACTTAACTCTATGCATTAGCCATGAATTTGATAAAGTTCTTGTTAAATTATTTTTTCAGGAGCTCGATTACGTATTGATTGAGATTGATGAAAACCTAATGGCATCTATAGGTGTGAAACCAATTTTGGCCCATAGCAGTGAGCTACCGATCGTCACGAGTGATGATACAGTGTGCATTATTCAACATCCTGGGGGAAAGATGAAACATTTTAGTCAGGGCGCAGTCAAGAGTGTGAACAAACCATGCATAGAATACTATGCTGATACGTTAGGAGGATCCTCCGGAGCTCCTGTGTTTGTGGTAAAGGAATCTAAATTGTTACTGGTTGGGTTGCACAGCAAGGGTTTGTCTCACCAAAGTAACTGGAATAAAGGTGTGCTTCTTTCAGAGATATTACATCATCTTCATACAGGAAAGGGTAAGATTTATTGCTTCTTATTCTATACCAAATTTACATACAGTAGTATGAATCCCCGAGCGCCGTTCCGGGCGTACGCCCGGGGCAAGGGTACTAATTCCGCACGGATACTAACTCCGCATGGGTGTCATCTCACTGATCTCAAAAATCCCGCAAAAATTTAAAAACAAATAACAAAGTTTGGAAAATCATTTCACACAGTATGTTAATTGTAAAGCATTTTATATATAATTTAGAAATTGGTAGTTCTATTAGTTAAAAGTGTTTTACTTTCATTTATTTTTTGCCGTTTTGTACAAAAAAATGTGCTGCCATGGCTCATAGAGATTATAAATAACACTAGAGGAGGCATTGTAATCTTAATTCAGTAAAAAAAGGGAACGCAGCTATTGGGGGGCAAATTCAAGTCCCGGATGTGTATTCGTGTTCTCATTGGTGACGAGTTTCAAATCAGCCAATGAGAGCACGATTTTATATCCGGGACTTGAATTTGCCCCCCATTAGCTGCGTTCCCAATTTTTAAACTCGATGCCTCCTCTAGTGTTATTTATAATCTCTATGCCATGGCTCACATGACGTGAGCAACATGGGCCTGCGTTAATCAGTCAGTTGGCGTTATTCGGAATTCATACTTCATGTTAAAACAATTCATGTTCGGAAAATAAAGGCGAGGGGTTGCTGCATGCGTGCATGCATACATATGTATTTCGGGTGTCGAGGGGTTGCTGTATGCATGCATGCAATCACGATTCATACTGTGACAGCTCGAATTCAGAAAACAAGGTAGGGGAAGGGGAACACGTCTTCATATACTTACTGAAGGACACTGAACACTTTAATCACTGTCTGCTGGATCCTGCATAGGAAAATATATGATCAGTAAATCTATTACTGTATTCTTGCCCTAGTCTGATAGATAAGTTGACATCGGGTGGTGGATCGTAAGATTACGGTGAGTGGTGAGTTCCGCTCGCTGACAATTCTTTACAATAAATATTGCTTATATATACAATATATCGAAGTCCAGTTTATGAGACAGTATTCTGTAACAAGCTGCTGTTGGGTTGTATCTGATGCATCAGTAAAAAAGAAACACATCGATGCTTCCAATTAATATTATTATACTAACAATAACCTCCTATAACGATGGGCCTTCTCGAAACCATGAAATCTTTCATTTGTTTCAGGTTGTCGAGAGACAACCCAACCGAACGTCATCGGCTAATATCAGAGTATTGTCTTACAGTTACAACGCCAAATTTTCTATCGATCGGTGTTCCTTGTCAAATGGAAAGTGGTTTTAATCTCATTGGTAAGTATATTTCTTAAAAGGGTCTTTCTAAAAATATACTGTACTTGAATATAGAATGCTCATGTTCTTTGTTTGCCAGTTTACTTTTGCTTTTACAGTAAAGTAATTTACTTCTATATTATACTAACCTGAAATCTAAATTGGGGCCTGAATTTCAGGTTAATATTATACAAGAAACTATCACAAAAATTGTTCGTCCAAAACAAACTTAAGTGTATGGTATAATTCACTTGCTGGATTCTTGATTATATGCCGCTCGTTATGTCGTTTTTGTTTTCCGTTCCAGGTATTTCTGGCGCTGAGAGGTGGAAAGATGTAAAATTACGATTTGCCATAATGGGGGATAGTGGCGCCGGCAAATCAGCATTCATCAACGCAATAAGAGGGTAACAAATTTTCATATTTCTTCTTCTATGAAAAACGGTGCTCTTGTTTTTCTTCCATAGATTATAGATACCTGAATTTATTCTGAACTATGTATAAGCCACCAATTATTAAACAGATCAGTGTACGTATACTGTCGTATGTGATGAGATTTGCATATACAGTACATGGAATAATTTTAATGTCCAGAAAGTGAATGTCATTATTGTCATGAGCGAGAACTTCATTATGGAAGGTATAGGAGAAAACCTTTATTCATTACGCTTAATTCTAACTTGTATAGAATTGAAGATGACGATGATGGTGCAGCAGAAGTAGATGTGACTGAAACAAGAACGCAACCTAAAGAGTACAAACACCCTGAGAACCACGACGTTAGTTTCGTATATCTACCTGGCATTGGTACGCCAAACTATCCCGATCTTCCAACTTACGATAAAAAAGTTGGTTTGGAAGACTACGATACTTTCCTCATTTTCACTACAACGCGTTTTACAAAAAATGATTTGGAATTGGCCAAGAAGGCGAAATCCCTTGGAAAACCGTTTTTTCTTATCCGCACAAAGATCGATGTCGACCTCACGCCAAAGAAAGGAAAAGCAGCTATCAACGAAGAAGCAATATTGCGAAAAATAAGAAACAATTGCATGGATAACGTGAAAGACTTGATATCCAGTGAGAAAGAAATATTTCTCATCAGTAATTACGATACAGACAAATATGATTTCAATCGTCTTATCGAAGCAATGAGCGAATTGCCTGTACTTTTAAGTCAAAGTAAGTGTTCTTATATTTCAAACTTAATTACTGTGACTTGATTGAATACACAAAGCATAGTGTTTCACTGCATACGCGGCCATAAAATTAGTCTCTTATTCCCTTTGGTTATCTGTTGGATCACTGAACCTTATAAAGCCATGCCGAAATTTAAAAAAAGTCAAATTTACCTTACCGACCTAAACGGTGAATAACATGTTTATTTTTTTTGTTTGATGGTGATAGTGAAATTCAAAAAAATTCCAGTATTGCGAAGTACATTTGAGATCAGTTCCGTTTGTTACTTTAGTCCAAGCATGGCTGACAAACTGTTTCAATAGATATTTTTTACTCAATAAGAAAATACAGAAGGTAACCTAATTAATTTATTGTTAATTTTCGTGATTGCTTTACTGTATGAACATGCTTAAAAATCCTTTTTGACACACAAGTCACAACTACAAATTTTAGTTGCCGAAACATTTTGTTCATTACAACATTTATAAAAAAATATTTGACCGAACTAAAAGCCCAGGAACTGCTGTTTACGGTTTTTTAAAAAAATTATGTTTAGTTTTGGAGCATTTGAATTGAAACATGTAGCACTGGCCAGTGCTTTTTCGATGTTTATATTTCTTTGAAGTCAATTAGCCTTTCTCATTTCAGAACCATCCTCAGAGATACGAAAAACTAATTTCATATTAATCTGACACTGCAATCGAGCAACGAAAAATTCGTTGGCTCGAGCGGGATTTGAACTCGCATCTTCGGGTATCTAGACCGCCGCTCTACCTATTGAGCTATCGAGTCAACAGGGATTGGTAGCGAGTCTTATCCAATTTAAGTGCACGAAATATTTTCGTGACGACTTAACGCTTGCCTTAGAGGACGCGCAGTGTTTCAATTCTATTTCAGAACCATCCTCAGAGATAGAGGTAGATTCATTCCTCAGAGATAGAGCGGCGGTCTAGATACCCGAAGATGCGAGTTCAAATCCCGCTCGAGCAAACGAATTTTTCGTTGCTCGATTGCAGCGTCAAATTAATATGAAACTAGTTTTTCGTATCTCTGAGGATGGTTCTGAAATAGAATTGAAACACTGCGCGTCCTCTAAGACAAGCGTTAAGTCGTCACGAAAATATTTCGTGCACTTAAATTGGATAAGACTCGCTACCAATCCCTGTTGACTCGATAGCTCAATAGGTAGAGCGGCGGTCTAGATACCCGAAGATGCGAGTTCAAATTCCGCTCGAGCCAACGAATTTTTCGTTGCTCGATTGCAGTGTCAGATTAATATGAAACTAGCCTTTCTCACGCCGCCATTCTTGGGTGGCTTTTCATCCGAAGTCTGCGAGATAAGTCCAGGCACATAACAGCGACTTTTTATAATTTTTTGGACAAATGATGGTAAATTTGCTTTATAAATGGTTACTTTATTTTGCAAAATTGCTTTTCACATTGTTTTAATTGTCTGCATTGGTTAACGACTAATAACGAGAATTAGATGCCAATTAAAATGGCGGAAATTCATCATCGTGAGAAAGGCTAATTCACCATATTTTACTATCTTTAGTATCGATAGGGTGGATTTTCAAATTTTTGGGTAGTTTTTGAGTTTGAAAATTGTCTTCAATCCTCGGTTGTCGCCAAAAAATAACATTTTCGACCACGGTCAAGATGTCGTAAAAAGCTGTTCGCTCTTGCAGCCAATAAGATTGCAGGAAATAAAAAATATGGAATGCCCCAAAAACGGAGCCCACGGAGCAGTAGAAAAACCACAATTCCTTATGATAAACTACATTCTAGAGGCTCTTTGCGAGGCAAAAGAAACGAGAGGCGAGAATAGCCTCTGGTCACATCGGTTGCAAATCCCATGCACTTCCACACTTGATTAGGTTCAGAATTTGAATCTCGCATGTGATAGGCCATTTGTAAAAATATGTCAAACCGGTTTGGGAAATAAACATTACTGTACAAGCTTATTATAGCTATCATAGCTATAATTATATTGCCAACTGTCGGAGAGATTTCAGTGGTTTGTTTTGGAATCTCGGGTGAGAATGTGATGTCACCCATCACGATATTCCACGCATGCAGACTTGTAGCAAAGAAAGCAATGAAAAATAAAACAAGAAAACTGCAATACATATATTTGTGAACCAAAAGAATTAATAATTCATGAGTACATTCGCCAACCATATTGCCTTATTTTGCTCACATGATAATACTGGTTACCTGATGAAGTATATTGATCCTGTCCTAGGACTGGATCAAAATTAACTGAGAGTCGTCTTTTTGATGGATGATATGTTATTGATGAAGGCAAGAAACCTTTTTCGCGGCTGTTCAGTTAAGCATGGTTTTGTTTTGGTATTTCTTTAAACATTTAAACAAGTGTTTGTTCCAAGAATACAAGTGCTCATCTAGGGGAGTCACAGTCACACCAGTAATATATTCAGTCTCGAACGGTCTGTGCCAGTGTATAGATAGCGACAATAACAAGACAACTGTGGATTGAGAGATACAACTAGCTGAAATAAAATACAAGCAGAACTTCAGAGTTCAACGGTATTTGAACGGTTTGGTGATATATTGTTTCTTTTGCCGGCTTATGCAAGGGTGTGTAGTTTTTATTTATTGACAACAATTATCACTTATTTACTGAGACCGCGGGAAACAGTGTGTTTTGTTGCCCGAGGGGTCACAAAACACACTGCTTTCCATAGGTCTCAGTAAATAAGTGTTTTGTTATATAGTTTATAAGTGTCAAAGTATGAATAATCCACCGGTTATTGGAGTGAACTTAATTTGAAACCAAAACTGGATAAATGGAACGCCGTAAATGTTTAATAAAAAGTTTAGAAAATGAACTTGGAAATTCATGGTTGACGCGCATGCGCATTGCACCCATTATATTCTTGACCGGTCAATAAATGTTTCATTGTGTACAAGTTGCCTCCTCGCCAAATAGCATGCAGTGAACATGACGTTTTGTGGACCGGCACGTGATATGGTTTTGACCAATCGGCAGAAAAATTGAACTTTGACACTTACTATATAACAATACAAAATGTTTTTCAGACGAGACAACAGTTTTAAACGAAGAGTGCCTTGCTATAAATGAAGAGTACCTGGCTGATACAAAAGCATACATTGAGAAGAATGGTGTTTCTGGCATTAAAGAGTTTCTCGACAAAAAAATTGAAGGATGGAAAAGAGTGGAAATACAATTTGCCATAACAGGAGATAGTGGCTCAGGAAAATCTGCCTTTATCAACGCAATTAGAGGGTGATATTTTCATGCTTATTCTTTGCCAAAAAACTGGACTGTATATACCTTAGTTTTCGTGCATACATTGATACGCAAGAAAGAAAGAACTCAACAATGCATGGCTGACACTTGCTGTTGGGGAATCTCAGTTTTTTATGTTTTTGCGGCCGGTTGTTCGAAAGCGAGTTAGCGTAAGTCTAGGTTAGCTTTAAACGTCAAAGCAAATTTCCCAACAGCTTGCTTACAAACTTAGAAATATAGTTCCAGAAATCCTGTCTGGATCAATAAAAGTTTAGTTTTCAAGGCTTTAAAACAAACCAACATGCAGAAATGCGCAAATCATGACAGCAGGTTAAATTTTTACCCAAGGTTAGCGCTATAATCGTGCTTTGAATGACCGGCCCTTAGTCTTAAATTCCATGCGCATTTGCTTATTAATTTATAGTCTACCAATTCTTTCATATGTGTAAAATTGAAATTTCGCGCTCAACTCTCTTGTCTAGGCTTAATGACTACGATAAAGGTGCAGCAAAAGTAGGTGAGATTGAAACAACGACAGATCCAAAGGAATACAAACATCCTGACAACCCAAAGATTAGTTTTGTAGATTTACCCGGCATCGGTACGCCGAACTATCCTGATCTTCCAACCTACTGTGAAAAAGTTGGCTTCGAAAATTACGATACCTTCCTCATTTTCACTGCAACGCGTTTTACACAAAATGACTTGGACCTGGCAAAGAAAGTGAAAAGCTTAGGAAAGTCTTTTTTTCTTATTCGCACGAAGATCGATGTCGACCTCATGCGAAAGAAAGGAAAAACACCCATCAACGAAGCAGCAATTTTGCAAGAAATCAAAAGCAAAATCGTGTATAACGTGAAAAACTTGGCATCCAGTGAAGAAGAAATTTTCCTGATTGGTAACTACGATAAAGACAAATGGGACTTCGACCGTCTCATTGAAGCCATCAGCAACGCCTTGCCTGTTCGTCAAAGAGAGACTTTAACTTACTCTTTATCAAATGTAACACGTGAATGTTTAAAGAGAAAGGCAACTTTTCTCAAAGGTAGGCATTGTTTACACTCGTGCCAATAGAAGCAAACTTCACGCAATTCCTCTGATCAACACCTGATTTTTCATTTCTAAACATACTTTTGACTTTATGTTGGGAACAAACGTTATTTTTCTGAACTTCTTTGCAAATTACTAATGTTCAAATGAATTACAATGTTACAACAACAAGAATGCACCACGACAATAGTCAAAACGTTTTAGTTTTCAGGCGGAGCCGTTATCAATGCTTACATGTCATTGGTCTTGGAATTGCTACATATAATATGATTGTTAATTCAAACATAGGAAGGTGTGACGTTTTTTAAGGAACTTCCTCAAAATCGTGAGGTAATTATATGTGGATACCGGGTACGCGGATGTGTTGATCAAAGGAATTTCTTGAAGTTAGCATATGAATTTGTAGTTTTGATCAACATCTTGTCTGTCTTACTCTTTCAACACAGTCTTGATTGCAATAGAAAATAAAGGACCTAAAAGTTAAAACATTAAAAAACCTACTATATACAAATAAAAATTGGCGATCTAGATTTGGTTCAGGTTTGATAAAAAAATAGTCAAGTATCTGCTCTTTATTGTTATGAACTTTTGTAGGTCGTTTGTATAATTTGCTATGTTTCTTTGTCGACCTGTTTCTTTTCTGGTGTTTTTTGTTTGCATATTGCAGATTGTTTGTAAATTTGTTGTTCTATTTTCCACTAATTTTGGTCAGTTTTTGTCTGCTGTTCTTTATTTGTCTGTTTTGTAATTGGTTTGTTCTAACGCTTGTCTTACTTTTCAACGTTTATTTTACATTTTGAGTGTTTTGGAACCCCGTTATTGAAGAATTGATCTAAGTGTGGTAATTCCATGCAGCCATCGAGGAGTTTAATTTATATGTCATAAACTGTATTATGTATATAAAATTTAAATGGCAAATTTTGTAAATAAAATAAGATAGAATGAGGCGGAGGCTTATGCAGAGAAATGAAAATGTCTTAAAAATCGTTGGTTTGCAGAAGAAAAGCTAGATAAAAAGTTATACGAATGAGAGCAAAAAATAACGGTGTAAGGCACGTGAACTGTTTTGAATTTTAAAGATTCAACTTTCAAATGATGAACCTGGTCGAAAATAATTAATTTGAATTCTTTAATTTTACAAAACGTTTTCGATGATTTTATTGAATTAGCATATTTAGACAAGTCAGAATATTGGTATCGCCACCTTAAGTGATGCCAGAAGGCAATATAGGATAGTGATTTCATCCAGTATAAGATTCTGAAACTTCCACTAAACTTAGAGTTGTAATTCCGCGAAATATGGTGGGGGCATGTTTTTGGGTCACAAGACTATACCATCGGTTTTAGCTCTTTGACGTTCTTGGTTTGCATATAATTTGTTTAATCCAAGTTTTGTCGGGAAATTTATAATGGTCTTTTTTTACAAAAACTATATATAAGTATTTTGTTTCAGATAATTAGGGTATATTGAGAGTTTCAAGTTTTATGGTATTGATCTTTAATTTTGATATTATTAATACAGAAAATGGTAACTATATAGCACAATGTTAATATTTTTATTACTTTATATTAATATAGCTTCAGCTGTTCTAGTGGCAGTCGTTTCAGCAGGAACTGGTGCATTTTATCCAATCGACCGTGCCATTATAGAAGGAGCAATCGGCTACTACCACAGACAGTTTGGTCTCAAAATAAAGTCAGAAGAAATTGAGTTCTTGGTTAATACATACTGGCAGGATTCAATTAAAGAAGGCTCTATATTCGCACTTGAAAGAGTTGTAAAATATGGTTTGGTCGTTGGAATGACCATCGCAGGGAGCAAATCGTTTATTTTAACATTGCAGTACCTTGTACATTATGTAAACGAACTAGAAAAAGCTGCCTTGGCTGTCTGGGATAACGCAGTTAAGCAAATCAATTCAGGATAGATAGCTCGTATATATACGAGCACAAATAATTAATCGACACATTTTGCAGTGAATTGAATGAACTCTTTTTTTCGAGTCTTTTGGCGTTGGAAGTTTCGAATGACCGCCATATTGTAGGTCGGTTCTAAACTTTTTAGAATTGTAGTTATAAACAAGGACAAATAGCTCGAAATGAACATTACCCTAATACCCTGTATGTTCAATATATTTTATCAATCAAATCTGAGCCTTAGCTCTCTTTAGTTATATGCATGTGTCGCTCTCGAATCAGCAATTAAATTATAGATGATGTAATTTTAATCCTTTTTGTATATATACTTTTTACTTTATAAATATTTGTAAATATTTTCATGGCACAGCTAATATATACAGTTGTTATAGGTCACATGAGTTATGATTGAAATAATATTGTATTTATTTTAAAAGACCAACTTGAATCCCTTGATCGTCGATTATTTTTTCTCTCGAAGTTCTGTAAACCTTTTAAACGGCTCGAAGTCATTATACTATCACTCTACATGACGTTTCACAACGTACAGTTGATCGTCGACAAGTAAGGAACGCGGGCGCGAAAAGTCGAAGGCGGCGGAAAAAAGGAGAATATTTAAAGTATAGATTCAATACACGATTGATTTTTCGTATGTTTTTACATGAACTTGGTTAGCGTCACACTCTCACATTTGATCATTTGCATTATTTTTCGTATGTTTTTACATGTTTTTAGTGTCAAATAAACTATCAAACTATCAAAGAAATACTCAAAGGTTTTTTTTCGCACAATGTGTCCCAGGAGTAGCTTGTTCTCGTGACCGTCAAGTATGACTCCGAGCTGTTTAAAAAGTTTACAGAACTTCGAGAGAATAAATAATCGATGATCAAGGGATTCAAGTAGATTTAAAATTAAAATAAATACAATATTATTTCAATCATAACTCATAGTGGGGTCCTGTGGTCTTGCCTATTGGAAGAGCAAAGTATATTTGTGCATGATTCTTAACTTCGTTCGCTAGCTGGCGGAGCTATCGCTTGTAGAATCACCACTTTATTTTTTGGCAAAACGTTCGGTCCCAAAGCTCGGATCTTCATCAGTGATGTACTAAATAAATAGACCTGTTTTCCAAAGAAATAGACTTGTTGTTTGCAAGTATTACCGGCATGCTGTGGTGCGCGTGTAGCTACACTTGAGTGCAGCCCACGTTTTAATATGGGCGGACAAAGCTATGTTTCCTGAGTGTATACATGGCTTCAACCGGCAAAGGCCGCATCGATCTGATTGGTTATTTATATGCGTTATTTACAATTGCATAGTTATCTGATTTGCAGACGCCCAGAAACCATAGAAATAATAAACATAGAATGCGTGCTCCTATCTTTTCACAGTAAAAATTTTGTCTCCACAAAATGGCGGATTTATAAGGGCATTTTGGCTAGTCCCAGACTCCTAAGGCGGGGAATTTCGCGCGGTTGCAGGGAGTGCGCGAATTGTTGTTCTTTTTTCAACAAAGTTTCAAAAAACAATTATATCGAGACATGAAGTGCGAAAAAGTTTTTTAAAGAAGAAAAAGTGTCTGAAAACCCATTCCAGTGTTTTTTTTACGAAAATAAATAGTTCTGCACAGAATATATACAGAAATCGTCGTTTGAAAATACATTTTCAACGTTGTTGTGCAAGCCAAAACAAAACACGAAAGATCAAGACAAACTCAAACTCAATACTAAGGTATATTCTAAAAATATTTCATCTTTTTTATAACATAAATGGACTTTAGTAATCTTTTTAAACTTACACAACTACTTTATTTTTATATTTTTATATTTTTACGTTGCTTGAGACAACACTTTTGAAACCAAAGTTTTCAACGATTATTTAGGCGATTCGGTTTATCGACAACTAAATATTTTTGTTTCAAAAACATTAAAACACTTCGTTTAGATTGAAGAAAATAGGTACGCAATGCGTACATGTTGCATGCCATCAACCATGAAACCTATGTCTTCATGACTCAGAATACTATACAGAAATCCATCTCGATATTTTTCTGCGTAAGTCACAGTATAGGGTGTAAGTGCTATTCGTCATGATTCGTCACTCGGCAAGCACCGTAAACAGAAGCAGTCCCCCCCGGCACAGAACGACACACCGGAAGTCGATTAGAGTAACCTCTGCCACGTCCCAGCCAGTGCGTGCCCAAGAGACATTCCCCCTGGACGGCTGTCATTTTGAATGCCTCCTAAAAGCGCATCAGCCAGGACTATGGCGTCAGCATTTTGATGATGAATTACGGTCACACCAAAACCAAGAAATTGGGCTTCTGTATGACCCATTCTGTGCCCTGATTATGATGCGTTACCGCTTATAACTTTTGGTACAACTGACCTGAAACTTAAAGTGGAAGTCAAGTCCGTTCTGCATATCGGTTCTGCTCATAACAATGTGAGGACCTCTGAATGTAAACATTGCCCAAATTTCTAATGTTTTGAATTTTTCTGAACATAAACTCTCTTTCATATTCATTTAGAAGCATAGCGAACCAAAATGGTGTTAGATATTCAGACAGTACATCATATTTTAAAAAATACAGCAGTTCAAAATGTAAACAAACCGTTTGTTTACATACGGACTTGACTTCCACTATAAAGTATTGATTCAATAAGCTTAATATCAATATATTTATTGAAAAATAGCTATTATGTCAAAATAAGAAAACTTAAGATTCTCACGCGAATAGGTAATATTTTTATGAGCGACTGTTCATCGTTAGTTGCAAACGACGGTAAGATAAACAAGGTCAAGGTTTTAATATCGAAAGCGATTGACTGTTAGATTTCCTTTTATACTATTTTATATCTAAATAATGTTATTTCCTACAAATTTAGCTTTATTGTATCTTTGATTTTATTGAAAGTATAAAAAACATGGAAACGGTGAATTACTATAGATTGAAAATAATTATTAAACTATGATTGAAATTATCGTCTATCGACGTACAATGCTATATTTCGTATTAAATTTCAATAGTATTAATGAGAATTTTGTTTGATTTTGTATTTCATGCTATTTAGTATATTTCATGTTATTTAAGTTTTGCACACAATATAATCAGTGTGAGCACAATGACTCCGTTTCAATTTGAGCATATATAAAAAATTGAGTATTCTTCACGATATAAATATTAAACGCTTGATAAATAATCATTCATTGCGAGCACAACTGCTCCAAAATCACAACAAGTAACAGAATATAAAGTAAATTAAAACCAGCAAAGCTTTACCTACCTTGATCTATTTTTCTAAGGCTCTCAGTTATGTAAATTTTCCGCGAACAATCAAACCTTTTTTTTTGCCTTTCCTCGACGAAAGCGAGGGACGAAAACGTGCATGAGTGATGAAAATGCTCGTCGGAAAAACTCGGTAATTGTCGTAATTTACGTATTTGCCACGTGACCGTACCGCTCACCCCGCTCCGGTAATTGCTAGATAGTATACTTCAAAATAAGGTTTCTGTTTTTATAACGTAGAAAAACCATCCTAACGCAAAACTAAACCCTAACTCTAATACTAACCTTAACCCTAACCCTAACCCCCAACCCTAACACCCTAACCTAACCTAACCCAACCCTAACTTATTTAAAAACTTGATATAAAAACGGAAACCTTATTTTGAAGTATACTATCTAGCAATTTCCCTCATGGCTCACTCACCGCTCACGACGACACGAAATTTAGAGCTATATGAAATCCGACGAAGCTACAATCGTCCACAAAATATATTGAGACTTTTTAAATCAATCCCCTCCCCCCTTATTTCAATGTTGAAACCTACTGTACTTGTCCAAAACGAACATAAGGTGACACTAGCACCGCAACTGTGTCACTGGCAGTTGAAATTTAACATATGATGTTGGAATTAAACTATATTGTAGTGCCTAACAACATTGAAATCGGGGGAGGGGGTTTGTCTCAAATATTTTGTGGACGATTGTCTGAAAATTGGGGAAAATCGAGCACAGGTTTTGGCTATTTACTGCATAATATTTTCTTTGGGAGCGCTTGTGTTAATGTATACGGACAAAATTTGCATAACATATTTGGACTACATAGTATACATGCCAATATACAAGTATTATATTATGCCATAGTTTGTCCAAGTTAAGTTAAAACCATACCTTACAGGCATCTAACGTTCCTTCGCAAGCTTGCCTTCGATTCGAAAAAGATATATCGATAATGAAGAATGAATATCATGCAACCATCACAAATCAAGATTTTTCTATTTTAAAGTACTATGTAAATTCAAGAACAACGCCAACATGTAAACAACCTCGTTCTCAAACTGGGAATTAACCATTCGGATTAGTTTAATTAATGTATATGCATGGGCTACTGTTTTCGCTCCAAATTCAAATTTTAACAACGCGTTACCATACGTGTTACCACTAATATCAAATAGTTATTATTGCTACAATAAAACTTCCGCAATAAAAGTTCATTTCTAACGGTTCAAAACTACAAGATCGATATGCAAGCAATGACTAACAATGCGTTACCATGAGTTGCGCACGCGTTACCACGCGTTACAATCTTTTATTTTAAAAAAACTACTATATACATTTTATTAAAAACTTGACGGTAACGCGTGGTAACGCCTTGCTTTATCAACAAAATACCATAATGAATAGAATTACTAGGCGTTAACGCGTATGGTTATCCGAGATAACGCATGGAAATGCATTGTTTTAGTAATAGAAAAGCCAAATAGACAATTAGTACATGGTAACGCGTATGGTAACGCGTGGTAACGCGTGGTAATGGTTGTGTTCTGTTCGTAATAGAAAAGCCATATTATAAAACTATTAGTACATGGTAACGCATGTGGCAATGCGTGGTAACACGTTGCTTTAGTAATTTATATTACAAAAGCCATATTAAACATTAGTTTATGGTAACTTGAATAAATTAAAACTTTGACCCCACCAAGTAATCAAAAATTAATTAAAAAATGCTTATAGTTTCATCAACATTCAATTATCCATTAATTAACTTGAGTAACTAAAGTATTATTAATCCATGTGAAGTTATAGGACTTTCTCTAAGAAGTATGCACGGTTAATTCTCTAACTTAACGGACCGATCCAAGGATGTACTCGACAGCCCCCCCCCCCATCCGGCTCAGAAGAAGACTTGATATGGTACCATTATACAACGTAGAGATCTTTGTATGGGCCTCACAATACTATCCAAATTATAGTGAATAGTAAGACGCTTCTATTACTTCACAAAAATTCCTTAAATATTTAATCCTTGCCCCCACACCTCTGGGAATTAAATTATCCTCCCCCTCCCTTCCCCCGCCCACAGCTATTGTGCCACACATAACATGATTTCAAATAACTTCGAGCTGCTGCCATCTAAGTTTTCTTAATTTCTAATATAATCGTCTACCAAACATATAGTGATATTTTTTTGGATCTCTCCCCCATTTCTTTTATATCTCCCCCCCCCTTGGTCGACTTGTCAGTACTGTACTATTCTACATGTGAACAATAACCGGAATAGTATCATCTACAGTGACTACTACACATGCACACAAAGTGATTTCAAAAAAACTTCGAGATGCTTTTAACTAAGTCTTATCAATTTTTAAGACAAACGTCCACAAAATATATTGAGACTTTTTAAATCAATCCCCTCCCCCCTTATTTCAATGTTGAAACCTACGGTACTTATCCAAAACGAACATAAGGTGACACTAGCACCGCAACTGTGTCACTGGTAGTTGAAATTTAACATATGATGTTGGAATTAAACTATATTGTAGTGCCTGACAACATTGAAATCGGGGGAGGGGGTTTGTCTCAAATATTTTGTGGACGATTGTAGGTTCGATCTAGGTTCGATCTAGCTTCGACCTAGGCTTGACCTAGGTTTGACCTAGGTTAACCGCGATTTATTATTAATTGGTTATTTCCGGACAGTACTGTATTAAATGAAAAAAGACAGCATATAATTTCAGTGCATCTTTATTGATTACCCTATTTTATTATATTAATTTTAAATAGAAAAGAAGGCAAAGTTATTTGAATGCGAGAATTTGAAATCATTTTATTTCGAACTCAAAGTTTTCGATAAAGGCAGTTTAGTTTTATAAAGAACATTTTAAAACTTTTGCGAAGCGTTTGCGGTTGAATTTTACCTTAAATTGAAGCTTATATTACGTACCGTACATACCTAACATATATATGTTTGGGAAATTGAAGCTTTTGTAATTAATTTTAGGGCATTTTCAAATGGTGCAATTCAGGGCCTCTTTTAAGGATGTGTAACTGGAGGGGACATATTTAATAGCGGGGGACCTGGAGAAGTTCGAGTCGGCAAGTCTGTATCACTGCAGCTACCAGCATATATATGCATGGTTTAACTGATAAGTATACGTCATAGGGCAGCAGATCAGGCTGTAACTAGGATTCTGAGACAATCGAGTTGACCACCAAAGGTGCGAGCTTCTAGAGCGTCTGGGAGCATGCCCCCAAGAAAATTTGGATTTCTCGAAACTCAGATAAGCTATTTCCTGGATTTTGAGGAGTTTTTTAACAAGAAATTAACCTTATAAACAGTGACACAGTTACTACAATTTCACAGTCTCCCAAATGTAATCCAGTCCCAATAAGGCGACATGGTGTGATAATGCGGTAATTAAAATGTGTGTGTGTGTGGTATAGTATTATCATTCACCACACTTCAAATTTTACAGTACATGTATTGGGGTACTTGAAATCGACGCATCCGTCTTCTCAGTGTCACTGAAGAGCAAGATAGGGTGGTCTCTTTGGAATATCTTTGCTTGGAAAAACTAAACTAGAATTTCGTTCTAAAATGCCATTTCATGCCTTTCTCCATGAGCAAATTATTTCAGTCATGGTTTAGGTTTCTGGCGATATGTTTAATTAAATTTCAGTCCCCAAATTCTGGCCTACCGAGTCAATTGACTTGACTGGAGGGGCCAGTTAGAGGGCTGGGGGACATGTCCTCCCCAGTCTATATGTTAAAAGAGGCCCTGAATTAAATACAGAAAGGTCTTTCTTTACATGGAACTTCCCATGCATACTGCATTATGCAGCATCTTTCTCATAATTAAAGACCTTTAGTTTGACATTTAATTACAGCTATGCTCTCGTAGAAATTACACTAATTTTGTTACATAATAAACATCCTACACCAATCTCGTGATATTTAGCAATAATGATTATCAGAAAATTAGTTAGCCACTACTAACATATTAGCAAAGATCAAAGCATATTTTAAGGAATTTACAGTGGTGGGCCAAAATTTACGGTAGGGCCCCCGCGTCCCGCCCCCTGCCGGTCCAGCTCTGAGTATTGAATATTTGTGTAGTAATCGTGTTAAACTCTTCTTGAACTTATTGAGTGTCACATTCAACACATATTTATTATTTCTGGTTTCTACACTACAGAGGGGTACTCCGCTAACTTCGGTACTGGCGTATCATGCCATCAAGGGCATGGGTGACAAACCCTAGTTCTGAGTTCGTCGTACTAACAGATGCAATTGATCTGACTAAAAATACAAAAAATGCTGAAATGATTGTAAACGAAATGCAGTGTTGAAAGTGTTCCAGTTCCAGTTTCACTCTGGCACTCTCCACTAAAGTGACTAAACAGAAGTAATTTAAAACATCCACTTGATTCCCTATAAAGTTTTCTCATATACTCTCTATCCTTAAAAAGTTCTGTCAGGTTGGGATTTTTTTCTCGCAGTCTCTTATTTTTTTCTTTTCTGATAACCGCTCAATTCCTTTCGCTTGTTGTTTGTCGCCATATTACAAATTGATAAAATTATCATAGTTTATATTTAAATAAAAATCGTGAAACATCGGTGACATGTGCCCCCAATACGTAATGTCAGAGGAAAAATATGGGTCTACTTTGTGTTCTGCACGTGTAAAATTTGAAACAAAACCATTACTGCAATATAAATGCTATCAAGAAATTGAAAGTTTATAGACTAGCGTTTTAATAGCTTGTTTAAGATAAAACATTTTATATTCTTGATGCTAAAGATTGAAGCTGCGGGGGCCCACACAGTGGTGGGCCAATACCCTGTGAGTGGTGGGCCACTTGAGGGGCCTGGTGGGCCAAATGGCCCACCAGTCTATTACTTAAAATATGCCTTGGCAAAGATAGTAAATTCAGCTTTTAAGTTTGAGGTTAATGTTTGCGGTATAAATTTTGCACATTTTATAATATGAATTTTAATACACATGCCCTTAAAAAAAATATGCATATTTTTACATGGCCCGCCCTTATGATTGCACTTAACTTTCGATGACCCAACCCTTCAACCGTGCTCAAAAATAGTGACCCACTCGCCTATTTTTCCCAGCCCAGCCCCCCCCCCCCTTTTACTTTATGACCAATCCCTAATTTTAAATTGGACCAATCAGTGTTCACTATTCAGGACAGTCCGTTATATTTTGAGATCAGTGAGGATGACCACCCACGGTTGGTCACCCACGCCCGCGATCATTGATGAACTTTAGACTTCGCTAATGCTTTCCTTTTCCGGGGGTAAATACCCGGGCGGAATTACTACCCTCGCACGCCGTTTCCTCAGGGATTAAATTTCTTTTTAGAATTATCAATATATTACAATGATAAGTATAATTTTATAATTAAAGAGTAAATAAAAAAATACCTACAATGTTTTCTTTGGTTCTTATCCCAGTTATACAAAATAATGTTTTTTTATTTTAGTTATCCAGCATCTTTGGCAGAAATGCCTTGCTTCGTCGACACATACAAAGTCGATTTAGCTGGTCCTTACTATGGATTCCAGTCTTGGAATGATTTCTTTGCCAGAAAGTTGAAAAATTACCAAGTTCGTCAGGTAGCTGATCCTAGTAATCCATGGCGATGCCTATTTGCCCGAGGAATATATGCATTTCATTGGCAGGTGACGTCATGCCACGATTGCAATTTGAGATCACCCCTGATGAAGACACTAGACTGGAGTGTCGAAACGTTGGGTCTTGATTACAATTCGACTGGGCTTTGTAATCATTTATTTAAACCAGAGTAGCTAGCGAAACATGACTGATATACCTGATTGATATGATGATTCCCTATTGGGTTTAGAATGATCATGCGGAAATTCTAACCGAAGTTATAACTAACGTCTGGGATTTGTCCCTTTCATCACATACTTGGCCAGATTCATGGAAAAGAGCGAATATTAACCCTCTTGCAAAGGTTGATTTACCAAAGGAAGATGGCGACTTTCGTGGAATAAATATTACACCTGTAATTGCGAGGACCTTCGAAAAGCTCGTTTATAATAGTCAGGTTAAGTCGACAGTTGAGGAAATTTTATCCCCAACGCAATTTGCGTACAGGCAGGGGGGGAGTTGTACAAACGCTCTGTTAACTATTCAGAACAAAGTACTCAGCTTCTTAGATAGAGCGGACTGCAAAGCAGTTAGACTGTTTTCTATGGATTTTAGCAAGGCTTTCGACTCAGTGAAACATTCACTCCTCTCGGAAAAGTTAAAAACTGTGCCACTCAACCCTTATATCATAAATTGGTATTTAAATTTTCTAAAGAATAGAAGGCAAAGAGTCGTTTGTAACGATTTTTGTGGAGAATGGATGGATGTTAATAAGGGTACAACACAGGGGAGCGTAAGTGGCCCCTACCTTTTTAATATTTTCCTAAATGATTTAGAGGCGGACATAGACGGCGAGAACGCTCTTTTTAAATATGCGGACGATTCAAATATAATAGTTCCAGTTTGGAGTGAGGGTCCTGATACATCAACAGATACAGTTGGACAATTCCTGAGCTGGTCTGATGATAATTTTATGACTTGTAACCCTGGTAAATGTAAAGAGCTTATCATCCGGAAGAAGGGATATAATGATCAACTTGACAATGTTTATAATATACCCCAATGCAAAGAACTTCCCATTTTAGGTACTACTTTTCAAGACAATCTCAAGTTCACCAGTCATGTGCGAGGTAAATTGGTCAAAGCAAACAAATGCTTGTACGTTATACGAACACTCAGGACAGAAGGCTATAGCCAATGTGAGATAGATTATCTATTTAAGACCCTAGTAATATCTACTATAACGTTTGGCCTGTCCGTCTACGGTTCTTCTCCAGCCGAACTCAATACTCTACAACGGTTTTTTGACAGATGTTTTAAGCGAAAGTATATATCAGAACCTGTAAATATTAGATATCTTTTAGAAATACAAGACAGAAATATTTTTAAAGCTTCTGTAAATCAGAAGAGTGCCATAGTCGACTTGATACCGAGAAAAAAATCCACAAGCTACTCTTTGAGGACAGAGTTTAGTCAGTATCCAAGAGTGAACACGGAACGTTTTAAATTGTCGTTTGCAAATAGATTAATTTTTAACTATAACCTATTCATATGATGTAAACTTTACTAATGTATTCTTAATATGTACTTGTAACATAAGATATGTATTTTTATCTTTTGATCTATTAAATAGACTTTTGAATTGAATTGAATTGAATACCTGGTTGTAGTGAACGAACAAACTTTAAACATATGCGATCTCTTCTCCATGTGATGCCATCATGCCACCCCATATTTCATCGAGAGACCCAAAGCTCCGAGATCAATTTTGGATCAAGTCACAGCCGTACAGCTGACAACATCTGCTTGATGATTCATCATCAACAAGTACGTGGGAGGCACTGTCTACCAAGCCTTTCTTGATACTGCCAACTACCATCGCTGGCATGCACCAGTTGCTGGTAATAACCAAGGCATACGTTAAGGAAGGCGCTTATTATGCAGAATCTCTCTCGATGGGTTATGATCCAATACTTATTCAAAACGTTATCTCAGTCACGTGGATACCCGAACCATAATCCACATTGAAAAAGGGAACCCAAATATTGGTACCGTGATCTTTGTCGCAGTAGGAAAGGCTGAGATCTCAAGTTGTCCTATTGAGGCATACTATGGGGAGAAAGTAAATAAAGGTGATCCTATAAGCACTTTTCAGTTTGGTGGATCCACGTACTGCCTCCTGCTCCAAAATGGTGTGGAGATTACATTTGTTGCTGAGCTACCACATGGAGAATTGACAACTGGTCTGCAATTTGTCAACAGTGCTATCGGTGCAGTCGTAGTTCCGCGACACCGGCGGTAATTAGCCTACCTGTCAAACGGAAGAACTTCATGATCATTTTCATTGTTAACATTGGTGAAATATAGTCAAACAAAAATTTTGGTCGGGTGATTCTTTGATCGTGAGAACGGTCAAATAAAACCGGTTTAGACATTATGGCGTATTAGGAACTGCTGTTATGGAATTTATGTAGCGTTACGTACTAAGAAAATACTTAAATATTATCGAACAGTAATTAGTATTGTGATGGGAATATATTAACATAGTGGTGAATAATTTTTATATGTTTGTAAACGTCGTTGTTTTTGTGTTTCTCTTCCCCGCGTCTGGAAAGCATGAATGATAATAACTTGTCCCTTGTCATCGTATAACTTCCCCGTTTCCCAGAGGCGTTAGCTCGGGGCGAGGGTACTAATTCCGCGCGGGTATTTAAACCCAGGGAAAGGAATTAACGCTCTAGCGGTGTCTAAAGTTCATCAAATGTCGTGGGCGCATGGTTATGATCCAAGAGTGGACCTCCTCACTGATCTCAAAAATATGGCTGTTGGCCAGAAGTGGGATAAACACATGCACTGAGGATATTAAAGCAAGATTTTACTTTTCAAAAGCATATATTTATTTGGAAAATCACGTTTCACACAATGAGCTTTGAAGCACTTTTTGTTTGAACAAATGAGAAGAATTTATTTACTATGAAAAACCGTGAAATATTGGGCATGGTCAAGTTTGCTTTGAATGTTTAATAATGTAATTTATGAATTTTGTTGCTTTTAATAATAATTTATAGCATAAAACATGTACTGCTGTTTTCCTTTTCAATAAAGCTGTAAGTGTCCTAAATTACCCTGTTTAATTTAAGAAAAAAAATAAATGTAAAGGAGAGCGAATTCATTTGAAGACCTAACTGAAATTACTCAACAATTTGAAGTAAAAACAGTTTATCGGCAAAAGCAGTTTAGACAGTAAAGTTTTATAGTTGTTAAAATGAACATTTCAAAACATTTTACGAAGCAATTCAGGTTAAATTTTACATTGAATCAGCTCACAAAATCCAGAACAACATACCTATTATATAGCTATAAGCAATAATCTTTCGACAATTTTTGCCGTGTTGTACAAAAATATAATAAAAATATCGTGTTGCCAAATGCCAACAACATGACGTAAACGCGAGCCTGCGTTCAGTGTTGATCAATTACTAATACTTCATGTTAAATCAATGTTTGGAAAATATGGGCGTGGGGTTGCTGGGTGCATGTATTTATATATAGTATCATATTGAATTAGAAAATCGTGTAACAACGCGGGTTTAACATTGATTTTGGATTGGATCTAACCCTGCCTCAAATAATCTGAGTTCCTTCCACAGATTTGTAACCAAAACTGAAAGGGCCAACTGTAAGGCTTTGTAACTAACCATATTGATTCCATTGATCTGGATAATATTTTCTGAACAGTATTACACAATTCATAATGTAGCATCGCGATACAGAAATAATTTATTTTGTACTGTAGGGCAACAATTCTACCTCGGCTGTTGCTTCGTGGAATGGAAAATTCCATCTTTCACGTCATGAAAGTATTTTTACAATAGCACTCATAAACATCCATTATTTGACGTATAATGCGTAAAGGTTAAAAATGTGATTGCCTAGATCGGTGAATATATGCTATCAGTATAAATTTTGCATATCAAATAAGCTTTCGCGCGTTTTGATTGGCTAGTTTACTAGTAAATCTGAGGCATTATTTACCACCTGGGTAGTAAATAATGCTTTTCAAAAAGAATGATTCCGCAAATTTGGTTTCAAAATCGACAAAATACTATTGAAAAAATCGTCCCAGAAAACGAAAAAAAGCACAAAATGTTGTATTTAACTTGAAAGGTAGGATTTCTTTATTATATTACATATTCCCGGACAGTTTAAAACTTATTTAAAACTCCGAAACATTCGCTTCAAACAAATCAGAAATGGACTATTCCAATTAATATCTGCACCCCTCCCCTGTTGAGGAACTCCTTTCTCACGTCGGTACTCCCCTAACCTGAGTATCAGGCTCTATTTTACAAATAGAGCCTGACACAAAACTTAACCTTATCGCTTTCCACCCACAGCAAAGTTTATATTTAGTATCCAATCAAAATGTCGCAGGAGAAATTTAAATTTCACACAACGACAACAACAATCTAATTATAGCATAGGCAGCCCACTAAACGGCTGAGTTTAAATTAAAACAGCAATGAACTTATAAAATTAACAAAAATAATCACAAACTAGCGAAATATATTGGAAATGTAGCTTATATTAAATCGCCACCCAATTGCTCTCTCCTCCGCAGAGGTTTCAGTGACTACAATGAGCTTTACATGGCGCTTACCGTATTTATCAACAAACTGACATATAATTATAAACTTTATAATTAAACGCATGCGTAATGCTGTAACCCTTAAGTTAAGAAGAGAAAAGAAACATTACTATAACAATCAATTTCAGGAGAATGAATCAAACCCAAAGGGGACTTGGAAAAATTTGAAACGTTTACTTGGTAAATGTGGAAAAGGAACTGGATGCACTGGTGCAGGTTCAGCGACAACTGATTTGAAAGTTAAATGCAACATGTTTAATCGTTTCTTTGTTTCCTGTGCTACGAACTTAAGATCAATTTGTAGCACGACTGGCCATGCGTTCAAAAAATGGTTACCCCAAATGGAACATTCGGAAAGCTTTACGTTTCAACAATTTACTGATTCGGAGGTTCGAACTGCTCTGAAGGAATTAAAGGTGAAGAAAGCCACCGGTGTAGACGGCATACCAAGCAGATTGTTAAAAGACGGAGCTGACGTATTGGCCTATCCATTGACAGTTTTGTTCAATTTATCAGTTCAACAATGTAAGATCCCTGGGGAATGGAAGAAGGCAAAAGTTACGCCACTTTATAAGAATGGCGCAAAGAGTGATCCAAAAAATTTTCGCCCTATTTCTGTTTTACCGGTAGTATCTAAAGTTCAGGAGCGATTAATCCATAACCAACTTGCATCGTATTTTGATGAAAATAACCTGTTGTGTAGATTTCAGTCAGGATTTCGAAAGAAACACTCAACAGAAACGGCGGTAACCCATTTTGCAGACCAAATTCTCATGGGCATGGATAAAGGGCTAGTGACGGGTGCCGTTTTCATTGACCTAGCTAAGGCATTCGACACAATCGACCATGATGTCTTAATTCATAAGCTGAAACATTATGGCGTATCCAATGAAAGTCTATTATGGTTTAAGGATTACTTCTGCGCAAGGAAGCAGTTTGTAACTATTGATTCGCATAGATCTGAAGAGCTGGATATCGCTTGTGGGGTCCCGCAAGGGTCAATTCTTGGCCCATTATTATTTATCATTTACATCAATGATTTATCATCTTGTATGCGAAGCTGCTCAGTCAGTATGTATGCAGACGATACAGCAATATACTTTGCGGCCTCGACGGTTGATGTGGTGAATGATAACATCAATAAAGATTTAAATTGCTTATCTGAGTGGTTGAAAGATAATTATCTGGTGCTGAATATCACCAAAACCAAGTGTATTTTGTTCTGCTCACAGAGGCACGGTGAACGAAACAGAGCTCTTACCGTGAACTTCTTCGGGTCATGTATCGAAAATGTTATCACTTTTAAGTACTTAGGTGTAGTATTCGATAGTCATATGACGTGGAAAGATCAAGCGGATCATGTATACAAAAAGGTTGCAGTACGAGTTAATGTCTTACGGCGTATTAGAACATTTCTAACGGAGAAAGCAGCAATACATGTTTACAACGGTATTATCCTGCCAGTGTTCGATTACTGTGACATTACCTGGAGTAGCCTTCTGCAACAAGACGAGGACAGATTACAGCGATTGCAACATCGCGCCGCAAGAATTATAACACTGAGTGAAAGATCATCTGAAGCGATGGAAAAATTAAAATGGTCTTCATTGAACTGCAGACGCTCTTACCATAAAGCTATATTAGTTTGCAAATGTCTACATTTTTTAGTCCCGAATTATTTTTTAAATTATTTTAAGAAATTTAGTAATGTACATAGCTACAATACTAGACACAAAAATAGGCTAATACTTCCCAAAGTTAAATATAATTTTGGAAAAAATACTTTTATCTTCAGTGGGGTGCAGGTTTATAATATGCTCCCTGATCACGTGATGAAGGCTGAGTCCATTCACACTTTCGCACGTCTTGTACGAATTGTGTGTAATGAACTTTCTTATTGATGTGGAACATGGAAGTGACGGAACTGATTGCGACAATATTTTGTACTTTTATATATCATACCTTAAAATGTAATTCCTATAAATAGCTTATATCTAGACACAGGGCCCCTATGGATACCAGCCTTCTTGCTGAAAGGGCCACCCTGTTTAAATAAAGTTTTTCCATTCCATACAGGTAAACTACGTCAAGTGTTCCTCTTTTGAGGTTCTAAATTGATTGCAATTTTCCTCATTACCTTTGCAATTTAATTAAAAAATTCCCTTGCAAATCCCTTGAAGGAATTTGCAAAGTTGCTAAAAGCCAATTAAATTTTCCTCAATCCTGTTAGAAGTTCTTAACTTCCTGTTACAAGTTTCTAACTTCCTGTTCTGTTCTGTTCTGTTCTGTGCGTTGCAATTGGCTAACAAAAATAATCCACCAATAACAACGCTCAGAACAGAACAGGAAGTCAGGAAATTATTTAAAACGAGTTTTTTTGCATTGGAATTTTGCAACAGACGATAGGAACATTGCAAATTCCCTCAAGGGTTTGCAGAGTTTTTCAAATTGGCAAAGCTAATAAGGAAAATTCCAAATGAGTTAGGAAGTCAAATGAAGAACGCTTCACGCAGTTTATCTGTATGTATACTTTATAACTATACGTCAGTCGATAGTACAATCTGATGGCGATTTAATATAAGCTACATTTGCAATATATTTCGCTAATTTGCGATTATTTTCTAATTTTACTGCAGTTTTAATTTAAATTCAGCCGTTTAGTGGGCCGGCTATAATTGTAGTTGTGATCGTTATAAAACTGATATCAACAACTGACAATAGTATAATCTAATTAGCACCAGCCAATCAAGTGACAGATTTAAAAAATCGTTTGTCTAATCGGCCAATCAGACAAAAAAGCCAGAATCTGGCTTTTTACATGCGTCGCGGTAAAGAATTGTATCAGGCCATCCTTCATTCGCCGCCGCCAATTAATCCTGGCGAATGATAACATAAGGGCCTGATACTCAGGTTAGTACTCCCCTGGAATTTCCGCAAATTTTCATGTAAAATTTACCGCATCCCAAGGAATTCCCTTGTAAATACTACCCTTGCCCATGGAATTTCCATTTTAAATTAGGCCTTCCCCGTGGAATTTCCATTCAAAATTTGGCCCTGTCCATGGAATTTCCATGTGTAAATTACCCCTCCATATGGAATTTCGATCATGGCACATTTACTCCCGGAAATTTCCGTCTGATGCATGTCCTCCCATGGAATTTCCATCCCATTAAATTTACTCCTCCCCCTGGAAATTCCATGAAATTCCATGTGAGAATTACTCCACCCTTTGGAATTTCAGAGCCTGGATGCCCCCCATCTCTGGAAATTCCACAGTTAATGCACCCCCTCCCCTGGAAATCCAAGGTTAATGTTCCCCCTCCTCTGGAAATTTGAAAGTTAGTGCACCTTTCTCCTGGAAATTCAAAGGTTAATGAACCCCTTCCCCTGGAAATTCCAAGGTTCCTCAACAGGGGGGTGCAGATATATAATTGGAATAGCCCAATAGCAAAAACTATCCCGACTGTTGGGAAAAGCCGTGATATTCTTTTTAAAACAATTTTGTTTTGTATCCTATAAATATCTCAATTTGTACGTTACCATTTCTTATGATATGTCGTGTTTTCATTGTGCTGTATGGTGTCCTGTCGCTGTATTGTACTATTGTGTTTTTGAAACTTGTAAAGTGAAAAGTGTACTATTTCAATTCCCAACGTTGGAAGAACGTCATTTCGACCGGTGATTTTTATTTGACGAGTATATGTGGCCATTTCTCATCGTTACCATCTAAATAACACAGCTCTTTCGTCCTATATGTAAAAATTGAATTGGTTAGCAAAGTTGATGATGCATGTGCACGATAGCCTATTGAATTTCCATAGCGTTGTTTTTAGCCCCCACGTATATAGTTTTATGCGCATGCGTATATAGTTTTTAGCACCAACACATCAATTGCTATTATTATACTATGGAGTTAACTCATTTTGTATTTTGCATACTGTTTTCTGTATTTTTTGCAAACTTTTTCCTCAGCCGTTTATACCTATACTCTAATGTTTGAGAATCCTTAATTATTATTAAGTATCACGCATTCCGTATAATTTGTTAGCAAAATAACAACTCTCTGTCCTTCTGTGCTCGAACCCATCAGTTGGAGTGTTGCCGGCTCTTAAACAGGTACTCAGAATAACGTAATTAAATTCTCTTCAAAACCGTGTGTGCATAACTTCTGGCTTCATATCCATTGTTTCACTGACCTTCCCAGGAAAATTACATCCTCGTGCGATATTGAGACGTATATAACCAAATAAAAACAAAATGTACATCTCCCGATATCACGAAAAAGCAGGAAAATAATTGGGTTTTTTTTACTTTTCGTTAAATTTCTTAAAGTTCTAAATTTATTTAGTTCGAAAAGGTTTCGAATATATACCTACCGTATAACAAAAACGCTTTTAAAATATGTGAATTAGTATAAATCATAGGCGGACATGAAGAAAGGGACAATTAGCTGGGCGAGGGCAAGATGGCTATTAAAATCGTATATAGGAATGTATGAAATGTGCGACATTGCGAAAACGTGATGTATTAACTGATATCTCGAAAATGTTTCGCGTTCTGCGACCGTGCTAGGCTGCCAATCTGCTCTCTCCTGGTTTCCGGCCCCGTCGACAGAAATTGTGGGAAGTACTTTTTGTAAGTGTCGCGCAATTGTGTTTGTCGTTCTGATATTATTATGCGAAATTTGTGGAGAGATTATATTGATCACAAATTATTGAATTACGTTACTCCGCGTAGCTGTCGGAAATAACCGGCAACACTCCAACTGATGGTTCCGAGTACAGAAGGACAAAACGTTGTTATTTTGTTAGTTGTTATTTTCTGAGGTACTGATGCTGACTATACAAGGTGTATAAAAAACACTGAACAGATTTGAAATTGCTCTCAATTTCGCAAAACAGCTATTAGCATCCAGTTTTTTATATATATAGTTTCTTTGGGTACTTATAATGTAGAATAATGAAAAAAATTCTCAAACTCAAATTTTGTATACCAGGGGTGTGTGTTTTTTCCAACAAACTAAAAATGGCTTGCGCACGAAATTTAAAAGCTTTAACCGTATTTTGAGTTAATGGATGGAAAATTTGTTGGGTTTTCAATTACTGTCCAAAATTTCAGACAATTTCCTTTAGTTTAAGCCCTTCCACTATTCATTTTTTCCTAAAATATCAGCCTTTCGCATACTTAATTAATGCCTTAACCTAATTTGCATATTGATGACATATGCAAATTAGGCAAACGCATTAATTAAGCATGCAAAAGCTGATTTTTTAGGACAAAAATGTAAGTTTGCGTGAATAGTTAAAAGGCTTAACACATTTTTCATTCATTAACTCAAAATACGATTAAAGCTTTGAAATTTCGTGCGCAAGCCATTTTTATTTTGTTGGAAAAAACACACACCCCTGGTTTACAAAATTTGAGTTCGAGAAATTTTTTTCATTCTTCTACATTATAAGTACCCAAAGAAACTATATAAATCAAAAACTGGATACTAATAGCCGTTTTTCGAAATTGAGGGCAATTCCAAATCTGTTCAGTTTTTTTTTATACATACTGTATAGAGCACTAATTATAAGCTAGTCACGTTGCACTGAGGGAGTATTGACCTTGCGCATAGCCTGTCAAAGGGAAGAGGGTTGTGAAACTCATAAATCTGGACCTGCTGTTATATTGTTATTTTACAGTCGTGCCAATAAAAGCGTTCCAACGCTTGTTCATTTTACGAAATGTTGACCAGTTCATTTCCTAACTTCGAGGAGTTCCTCTGAACAATTCCTCAACAATTTGATAAGGTACTTAAAAAGTTCCTAACTTCCTGTTTCATTGGCAAATCAGATTGCTCAAAAATAAAATTTGATTGGTCAATGAAACAGGAAGTTAGGAACTTTTTAAGTACCTTATCAAATTGTTGAGACTAAAAATGGCTTGCGCACGAAATTTAAAAGCTTTAACCGTATTTTGAGTTAATTGATGGAAAATTTGTTGGGTTTTTAATTACTGTCCAAAATTTCAGACAATTTGCTTTAGTTTAAGCCCTTTCACTGTTCATTTTTTCCTAAAATATCAGCCTTTCGCATACTTAATTAATGCCTTAACCTAACTTGCATATTCATGACATATGCAAATTAGGCAAACGCATTAATTAAGCATGCAAAAGGCTGATTTTTTAGGACAAAAATATAAGTTTGCGTGAATAGTTAAAAGGCTTAACACATTTTTCACTCATTAACTCAAAATACGATTAAAGCTTTGAAATTTCGTGCGCAAGCCATTTTTATTTTGTTGGAGAAAACACACACCCCTGGTTTACAAAATTTGAGTTCGAGAAATTTTTTTCATTATTCTACATTATAAGTACCCAAAGAAACTATATAAATCAAAAACAGGATACTAATAGCCGGTTTTCGAAATTGAGAGCAATTTCAAATCTGTTCAATTTTTTTTTATACACACTGTATAGAGCACTAATTATAAGCTAGTCACGTTGCACTGAGGGAGTATTGACCTTGCGCATAGCCTATCAAAGGGAAGAGGGTTGTGAAAGCTGTAGATAAGTATTATAATAATTCAAGTGAACTCCCACACGGCAATCTTGTAAACCAGTGGTAGATAATTTTTAGATTTTTTTATAATTGATGTGTGTATGTAATTTATAACTGTCTTATTACGCTTATAATAGTTAGATTATCCATGTACTGAAGATTTTACCGTGTTTAAATAAATTTGTATTGATTGATTGATTGATTGATTGAAACTCATCAATCTGGACCTTCTGTTATATTGTTATTTTACAGTCGTGCCAATAGAAGCGTTCCAACGCTTGTTCATATTACGAAATGTTGACCAGTTCATTTCCTAACTTCGAGGAGTTCCTCTGAACAATTCCTCAACAATTTGATAAGGTACTTAAAAAGTTCCTAACTTCCTGTTTCATTGACCAATCAGATTGCTCAAAAATAAAATATAAAATTTGATTGGTCAATGAAACAGGAAGTTAGGAACTTTTTAAAGGAACTTATCAAATTGCTTCTATTGGCACGACTGTAATGAGTTTTACATGTTCTTCCCTTCGATAACCTTGCGTGAACTTTGATTTGGCTTTCATTTTTTGAGTGTCAATGCTCTTTAGTCAAAGGTAACAGAAGTCTGAAAAGGAATGTTTTAACGTCTGCTTGACTCACAGGCATCCAACTAATTTTTCTAGACTGGTGCAAAAGTCGGAGAATACAGATAATTTATGACAAACAGATAATTTATGATGCTGGTGCAAAAACTGTATACAATCGTGGACATATACTTAATAAAATTAATTTGTATAAGGTGGTCTTACACAATTTGTTTTCCATTTATTTTGTAACAAAATGGTGTTTCTATGACTGGAAATTGTCAAACGGCAATCCTAATCGGTAAAGCAACCAGTTTTTACATACAGGCTAGCGTTACGTGACTTTGGCACCTATGTCTCTTGTATCTTGCATTCATAAAGGACGTGCCCTAGTTGGACGTGCCCCATTTGCCTTCTAGAATCACTTAAGTTGGCGACTCCAAAAATCCGGAAATGCTTAAGGGTTGTGAGTTTGGAGAAGTTAGCTCATTTAAATAGCAAATCTTGTAAATTCAACGTTCTTCGCTCTGTCTACACAATTAATTTTTTATTCTTACTAGTACAATTCTCATTTCAATCATCTTTTCTGCCCCAAGATAGCACATTCAGAAAATTTTCTTTTCTTTTTCTGGCTTCAGCCTTAGTTTTGCTACTTTTACCTTTAGTTATAGGACGTCTTCACGTTATAATGCATGGATCACAAATCAGCAAATTAGAGAAGATAATGTGCCATTCTTTTGAGAAATCGTATTCCTGATTGAAATTACAGTGAAGTCCTTTTGTAAAGGACAATTTAATATAATATATTAGTTATAATAGTTAGCAGGGATGCCGAGAATTTCTTGAGGCAGTGGGAGCGCTTTTCTTTCAAAAGGGCGCAAAGAAAATCAAAGGGCAGTTACTTGCTTATTATACTAATGGAATTTACGTAAGAAATCTGTTGGTGTTAAATCTCTTGGTGTTAACTCTTCTGCACCCGCATTGCTCCCAGAAAGTTGTGAATGGCAAAGAATGCACTTGTGCCCGCAGTACGTAGTTCCGCCATCCTTCCAAGTTGGGATATTGGTGTCGATATACTTTCAAGAATTAAAAAAAAGCAGTTTGTTAATTTGATCTGTCAAATAAAATATCAATGGATTATTACAACATAATAATAATCTTTTCCAGTATAAAAGTGGTCCAGCTCCAAACTTATTTTAGTGGCAACGTAGCACTACCATGACGTTCGTGAAACGTTTGAAAAATATTTATTCTTATTTATGAGGAATTTCCCACGTAAACCGATTTAAATCCTGCATATTTTAAGAGAAAATGCAAGAGACTATAGTGGAATAAAATTAATCGATAAATGTGTTGTTGCACAATTTAGAAATGTGTTACTTTTGTTAGAATGATAGATTTATTGCAGTTCATTAAATCAATCTTCTTGAAGCAGCTACGTTTGCAGTTCAGGTGATTCGTCAGTTTCGTATTGCGCACTTTTACTGCGCATATCCGAAATAACAAATTCTAGCAAATATATTTAGTCGAACTGCAATTTAAAGTGATAAAGAAAGAGTAAGGGCAAAGAGAAAAACACTCTGCATTGATGATGTGTGTTCCAGGAAATATATACCTTCAAAAATGACAGAACTCTGGCTTGGGCTCCCTGTGCAACTAACACTAAACCACATCACGTTGCTTGTTTAAGCCTTGTCACAGAATAAAGATCTGTAACAGAAAGGCCACTCAGCGGTGCAACGTGTCCTCGTTTTTTTATGCAAAAATATGCAGTTTACTGGCCACAAGGCGGAGCAGCCAACCAATACAGCGTGTTTATTGGCTAGAAAATGTCATTGACTGGCTAGGAAAATGGCGGCCAACAGGCGTAATGCGACATGCGCGAGGACAGAAACTTCGAAGCTTCCGACGTATGTGGTCCTGCTGTATGGATCTTTATTCTGTGGCCTTGTATCCCTTTTAGAGTGCGTGACCCTATATACCTTTTTATTTTATATTTTTGTTCTTCTATACGTTTTACATGTCATATAAGAAAATAAGAATAATTCTACAACTTAACTCCCAAAATAACTGGTCTGAGAAGACAATATAAATGCCGGCTGGGTGTGCCGGGTGATTATATATTCAAACACCCTTTCCGATTAAATATAATATCGGTCAATATCCCAACAGAAAATTATTAACTGGCAATTATATTGTCATGCAAAATAGGTTGTGTTAGTTTCAGTATATTGTTCAGTGCAAAGACTACAGGCGTTTGGATACTGATACAATTCTAGAGCGCAACATTGAATATTTGAATTGATAAGGAATCATGTCGTAACACATATAAGCCATAAGAAGGTGAATTAAATGTTAAGATTGACAAAAAAATGAAATTTGCCAAAAAATTAAACCAACTTATATTATTAAATAAATACTTTAGTAATAATTTTAAAAGAGTGAAGTAATGATGTGCTTCAATGCTGGTCAAAATCATCTGCAAAATGCCAACACTCTATTAAACACTCTAATTTTACTATTTGGTCGAAATAGTTTACTAGTTTTCCCCCTTCCACCGCCCCAAGAAATAATGTTTGTCGTATTACAATTGCTTTAGCTGTATTCTGGTAATGTAATCAACATTGAATGGTGGGGGTCACAGGGAGTTTTTTTTTTTCAAAATTTGCAATTATTATAATATTACGAAATTTTGTCAAATATTTGGTGTCGCGTATGTTTTGTTCAGGATTGTCCGAAATAAGTCGAAATTAAATCAGTACCTATTTGGCTTTTGGCACGTGTCCTTGCCAAGTATTTCGCCTATGTGCATTGCTTATGACCTACTTATGTTCATAAGTACATATAAAGTATCTTATTTCATTAATTAAATACGTCATCAATACCTCAGTGTTTTGAGAGGGTATATAACAATGTGTGGTAAGAATGTTCGTGACAAGATCGAGAAAGGAAATTTAATATATATTACATCAGTAGCCATTAATTAAAAGCAATGAAATGTTGCGGAAATAACGAGAAAGAAAAACTATCGCGTTCTAGCCGATATCATTACAAAAATACTCCGCGCTCGTGTTTTAAATAGTAGGGCTACATAATATATACCAAACCATCCCAAGTTATGTACGTGATGTTCTCATGTGGGATTGAGTGTTCCATTATACCGCCATGCACGTTTTAATGATGATGACAAATATTTTGCCGCCTATACAGTAGTTGCATTTTTATCCAAGCCCTGTCAGTGGCAACGTAAACAATTGAAATGCACCACGATTACTTTTATTAGCAAGGCCTCGGCTTTGCTCAGCAAATGCATGACATTGATGAAGTGAATTTATAATTTTCACTATACAATGACACCACAATATAGGTGGTAAACATAATCTAAATTTTAGGATTTCATGTAATACGCATGCATGTGAGCTTATCAGCATGCTTACATTGCGCAATATCAATTTAATATTGTATTCATTTTAATGTTCAGTTATTATAATAGTATTTGTGTGTGTTGGTGTGATGTACTCAGCTTGGCCATGGTGGGAATCGAACACGTCGTGACCTTTGGGATACTAGTCCAATGCTCTGCCAAGTTGATGATATTTCGAGTTCGAGTTGATGATATTTCGATATACACTGATATCGTTGATGATATTTCGATATACGCTGATATCGAACTAATTAGACTCAGTTCCAAAATATCCAGGGCCGCCGAGAGGGGGGGGGGGCAGGGGGGGATTGCCCCGGGCCCCGAGTTGCTGGGGGCCCCTGAAAAATTTTTGTTGGGCCCCAGCCTTTTTTGTGTGTTAAATATTTCCGCGCAAAGGACAAGATATCTGTTTTCTTGGACTAAGTACCGAATTTTGGCATAAAAAAATGAGATAAAGTCCTTCGAAAGCAATTGCAACGTACTCGTCCGGAAAAATGTTGTACTCCGGAAAAAATTTTTTACCCCTAAAATGGTACACTGACCGAAAAATTTTTGGCGACGGGGGGGGGAGGTTGTTGTCCGGAAAAAAAATTTTCCGGGAAAAATTTTTTAGATAGGGGCCCCTAAAAGAAAAATTGTCCCGGGCCCCCGCCAACCTCTCGGCAGCCCTGAAAATATCATAAACGGGTTCGATTCCCACCGCCGTGGCCAAGCAAACTTTTCAGCTTGCCCGGTGTGGATCACACTCAGAGTAACATCACCAAACATCCTATTCACCTGAGTATATAACACCAACACGCACAAATATCATGTCTTAGAATACACTGATATCGAAGGAACTAGACTCACAGGGGGCCCCACTATGAGTTATGATTGAAATAATATTGTATTTATTTTTAAAAACCTACTTGAATCCGTTGATAATCGATTATTTCTTCTCTCGAAATTCTGTAAACATTTTAAACTGCTTGGAGTCATTATACTATCACTCTACATGACGTTTCATGAAGTATAGATGATCGCTGACAGGTAAGGACCGCGGGCGCGAAAAGACGAAGGCGGCGAAAGAAGGAAGAATTAAACTAAAGGGTTGAAACTTCGGCGGGTCATCGTTTGATGTGTTCCATAAGTAGGTTGCTCTCCGGAAATTTCGCACGGGGCCCCAATGTGAGTTAGGATTGAAAAAATATTGTATTTATTTTTAAAAACCTACTTGAATCCCTTGATCATCCATTATTTCTTCTCTCGAAGTTCTGTAAACCTTTTAAATGGCTCGGACTCATTATACTTGACGTCACGAGAACAACCTACTTATGGAACACACTGTGCGAAAAAACGCTTCGAGTGTTTCATGTAAAAACATACGAAAAATCAATCGTTTATCGAATCTACTACATCAGTTGTGAAGATATATCCAAAAAGACATAGAATCTGCAAAAAAATATTCGAAAACACCGATAAATTGTGAATTTTAAGGCATTTAGAAATGTCATCTAGTCGAAGTTTCAACCCTTTAGTTTAATTCTTCCTTCTTTCGCCGCCTTCGTCTTTCCGCGCCCGCGTTCTTACTTGTCAGCGATCACCTATACTTCATGTAGAGTGATAGTATAATGATTCAAGCAGTTTAAAATGTTTACAGAATTTCGAGAGAAGAAATAATCGATTATCAAGGGATTCAAGTAGGTTTTTAAAAATAAATACAATATTATTTCAATCATAACTCATAGTGGGGCCCCCTGTGCTAGACTCAGTTCCAAAATATGATCAACTGGATCGAACCGACTTGACCACGCAGCTCAGTTGGCAGAGCATTGGACTAGTATCCCAAAGGTCGCGGGTTCGATTCCCACCGTGAGCAAGCAAACTTTTCAGCTTTCCCGGTGTGGATGCACGTTCAGTTATTATTTATACAAGATTAATAATTTGGCATCCTTTGCAAGAAACCTCCTAGATATTAGCCTTATTAAAAACCGTACGGGCAATATCCACATCTACTTAGATTCTTTGATGAGATATAGATATTAATTAAGTTTTTTGTTATTATCAAAACTGAAGTGGTCAATATAATGTAACAAAGACCGTGCGTGCAACATTCACTGTGTACTATAAAACGTGATAATTAAGGACTCAGTTTGACAATTTTTCATAGGTAGAAGGAGGTTCAGCCGAAACGTGAAGGGCTGTGAAGAGTAAGGTATATATAATATATAGTTTTTATACAAGCATTATTATAGTTATTGCACAAGTATAGTATGAGGTGGGTTTCAGTGAAATATTATACACTTAATGTCTGCTCCAGATGGAAATAGTTAGTTTTGTTTTCCCGAGAATCTCAATGTTTCCCGAGACGAAGTCGAGGGAAACATTAAGGTTCGAGGGAAAACAAAACTAACTGTTTCCCGAGGGAACAGGCATTAAGTGTTTTGTTATATAGCGACGAACAAAAATCAACTTCAACAACATTCATACAACAATTGTATTTCGTGACAAAAACTCTATAGTGTAAACGAGTTTAAAATTAAAAGAACCTACTTAAACGGTTTCGGCAGCATATCCTGTTGCCTGTTGTGTATTTTTCTTCTCTTTTATATTCTTCATTTGAACACAAACTTGGAAAATCGTAGCCCTAATTATCTGAGTTGTGCCTCCATTTTGTTTATTTATGTACGTGGCCGGTAGGGGCGGCCATCAATTTTTCACTTGTTGCCTGGCGGGAAACATTGCATTTATCTGAAGTCACGTGACCACAAATCAGCCAATCACGTTTGGTGTTCACGCTAGCTATATAACAATTTATATTGTTGGAACTTGTGGTCATTTACTTCAAATCTATTGATTATACCTAAAGGGGAGAAAGATACTATACTAGATATTTTGTTAACACGTATTTTCCACCACTTTGTCACTCTAATATAAATTTACTTCCATCCAGTGAAACCCATCCATTGCAGCTATTTTTGTTTACTCCCTTTCGGGGCATTTTACCCATTGTTTTTTATATGTCTGACTATATTCAACAAAAAAATATTTCCTATTAAACTCACATTTTTTACTATCGTTTACTTTCTTTCCGGCACAGAATGACGTCCAATTGTTTGTTACCAGCAAGCGCTCTAGTTCTAGCAGGTAAACACTTAGTCATTATTATTTCCTTACCGTTATGCATGCTGAGGCCAAATTTTAGTTCGTTCATTGGCATTGCATGGTTTCTGCAATATTTTTATACATTCCTTGTTCACAATGGCCATTTTCAATGCAGCACTTTACAGCAAATCTACTGGAACTTATAGCTCCTTGCACTATATCACAATTTGTCATACTATTATCCAACAGTTAACTTACATACTTTAATTTGTTGACATATCGCGTTTTTCTGTCAAACAACTCACTGTGCTGAAGCTTCAATATAATAAACAATCATGTTCCATTTGTACTCAATACACATTTCAATTAGGAAAACCGATAATGAAATTTTCTATGGTTGCTTAATTTAATTATTTCTAGTAATTATGTACGCCAAATTAAATCATGATTTATTAATCACCAAACTAATTAATTTCTACGAAAAGTTACAAGCAATACCATTGAACGTGCCTTAAGCTCTCGTCTTATACTGTAGAATTGAAATTGCATGCATCGGTGAGTGGCTAAATATTTAATTTTAATAAAATATAATTGCATGAAATATATATATATATATATATATATATATATATATATATATATATATATATATATATATATATATATATATATATATATATATATATATATATATATATATATATATATATATATATAGATATATATATATATATATATATATATATATATATATACCAAATAACATCGACTGAAATTGCAAGAAATAATGTAGAGTACAGATTTAGGAGGACCGAGCTATACACTGATACAGTGGTCAAATGGTTTTAAATAACATATTTGTAATATACGATGTTCTTTAATTAGTCAGAAATGTTCCGTGCAATTAGCAATTACAACTGCATGGACGTTAGGAAACATTACAACAGGTTGTTGGGAGAATTACAAACTGCGTCATATACACTTAAAATTAATATTGGGGATATGGAGCCAATATTAAGTTGTGTATTTATGAACCAGCAGGAATCCTGGTCGGTTTCAGTGATGCTGATGTGTATCTACACAATCCCAGAGGGTCTAATAACCGCCTTAATCAAGCTGGCGTTAATAGAGCAAATAACAATCGGATGTTCAACTCTCAAGTGAGTATAAAATGGAATGGGCATTTGTAACAATGGACGGAAAGCCTTGACAGATTTTACAACCCAATTGAGATAGACTTATAGTTACGAGTTTTAGTTATAGTGGGAAGGAAAGTTGGAGGACCCAGAAAAAACGCTCGAAGCGTAAAAGAAAACCAGCAAAATTCTATTAAGATGATATTTTCAAGCATATAGGAATGTTAACCCAAGGTAATTAAGTCGCTATACCATAAACCTGCAGTATTAAGCTCACACTTAATTAACTTAGACGTATACACTAAGCACATGCATCAGCCACCCAGGCGTCCGTGGTTTTTGTGAGCAATTATATCATCCTACATTTTCGTGTCTTTCTAGAACAACGCTAAGGGTGGTTACAATGTAGGTGACAAGAATAAAGCATCAAACAGCGAGAAGACACAATTTAACATGGTACGTGAATAGATATTGTACTAATGATGAAGCATTGCACAATGCAATGCGGCTCATTTAAGTTCAAAATAAAAAAGGTGAAATATTAAGGATAAAACGCAAAAACGGATAAATAAAACTACCTAGCCTATTTCCTTCCGGAGCAGACGTTGATTTTAAGTGTATATTATAGGTAAAATATCAAGATAGGGTAACGTACGTACATCAAGAAAGAATATACAAAAGAAATTTTGCTTCCTCTTCCTTTTGATTTCGCCTTAGTTCATTCATTCATAATGGATTGAGCATAGAAAATTGATTTTTACGCATAAAATGAGATTAAATAACAAAAGGCTATGGACTAGAATGCATGTTTGATCTCAAAAGCTAACTCGCCGACGCAATTTTCGTTTCTGGAAGTGCCTGCGATACAATAATAACGAGAGAAAATATCGCCATAATATCTGTCGAAATATCGCCCAACTCCATCACAAACTCAATGAAAGACTTTATGCAAAGTAGAGAAAGATCTTGACGTAAAAGGCAATGGAAAGGTGGCGGGAAACCGCGAATTTTAGGTTAATTTCTAGCTGATATAATTCATTTTCAAGGTTTGTGCCACTACACGGGACCTACATCAGACGAAATCCGATTTACAAACATTGATTGGACATTCATTTCTTTTGTATTTTCCTCATGAATTATTAATGAGTTTTTTTAAATTCTATATAATACTGTATTCATTTGTTGTACATAGGTTTTTATATAGTTTAGTTTAGTTAGTTAATTACTTGTGCGTATGTTTCTATCAAGCGGTCTCTTGCAGGGATTATTTTAAAGATTCTTTATCACTGCACAAAAAAAAAACAGAATAAAATAGTAGCATGTCACACAGCAAAGGAGCGCTGAGTAGTGAGTACAGCTCTCTAGTTATTTAGTGCTGAACTGAGAAATCCAAAACAGAAAAATTTATAAATTTGTAAATGGAAACATAAGAAAAGGGACCCAACTAGGTGATGGAAAATTGCAAAAGGCAGAACCGTTCTTGGGTCCTTCTCCAGAAACATTTGGTATTTTTTAACCTGCTGAGGTTGATTTCTTACATTTTCAAACACAATTCCATTTTGAAAGGTTGAATATTAGACCATATAAAGTTCGATATCAAATTTGAAAGCACTAAGTTAAAACCAGTATAACGCATTGTTTTTTTTGTCCTTATGGCATTCTTGAATAATTCAAACATGATTTATGATAAATTATGCACTCCTTCTACGAATTAATGTTATCACTGCACAAATTGGTCACCACTGCACCTTAAAATAATCCCTGGTCTCTTGCGAAATACGTGGGTAAGGGCACTAAACGAGCTACCGTTTCAAAATATGAGTAAATAATAAAAAATGATGATTCTAATATAGAGGTCTGCGTTTGCTTGTGCTTGTGCTAATGTCGGAATGGTATTCTGCACAATTCACTACATCTACTGTATAGATGACCTATGTAGATATGATATCATTCGATATCATGCCACAATTTCACCACACATTATACGCATATAAATAAAAATCTAATGTGATATTGATTTTAAATATCGTGATCAAACTAGCCTGAACTTAATCCTATTGTTTACGTAACACGAGGAAACCGTGCAGTCACACGTAGAAACAGGTCGCAAAGGATATGTTAATTGAAATACACAAATACAATATGTTAATTAAATACAATATGTTAATTGAATACACAAATTTACATCTATAACTAATAATAATATGAATTAATATTAAGCTTATTTACAGCCAGGAGGACTGTATAATGGAAACTTTGATTCGTAATAGGCTGGTTTTAAATCATTAGTCCAGCGTGCGACAGGTTCTCAAGTCCGACGGAATGCTATTCCACAGATTTGCTGATCTGATAAAGAATGAATTGCTAAAGTAATCCTGTTTATCTTTCATGAGAAAATTGAAATTAATTTTCATTGTAATTGAGGGATATATAGCGAGATATTTGCCAAATGCAATTCCTAACAGCAATATTGCTGTTGCAAATCCCATTTCCAATAGGCAAAACCCAACTCTATAGCACCTTTGGCATTCATTGTAAATCTTAAAAATTCATGAAACATCCACAAGTTATGTTATTTCTTCAGCACTATTTCCAGAGTGGCAAAAGTTATGCAATTTCCTCAGGGCAGACTGGAAAATCCATACTTACAATTGAATGGACCAACCAACATGGCTGTGGTGATCGAGATTTAAATTGCAACATTATACTTCAATACCGATGTCAGGATGACACGAAACATCAAACGTTGAATCACCACACAATGAGGAATGGTAAGAGAGATGTAATAACTTCATCGAAATAGGGGGAATTACGTCGAATTTCGGTCGCGTCGAATGCATTTTAAACAATACATAATGAATCTTAATGAAGTTTATCATCTCATTATGCATATATTGTCTTAATTGCACTCGAAGCGACCAAACGTCGACGTATAAAACTATTATTTTAGTTAAATATTGACCATTTTGAAGATATTCTTGCATGTGAATTACAATAATCTAAATTAATGAGGAGCGCAAATTTATCAATGTTACTTAAAACATTCGTTAAAAGCAAACGTTTGTTATGTCAAATTAAAAATAATGGTCTATTCAGAAAATTGTCTAATATACTATGCAACACGTACAGCTAGGAGACCAATGATCTGTAACAGGCATGTTATAGACCCACATTTCTCGTCTGTTTTTCTCTTGCTCAATTTATGAAAGGGAAAGTCCAGGAAGGTGCATTAATCTTTGGAAAACGAAATTTAAACGAAAACGGTTTAGATTTACCTTTATAGTCAGATATATAAATTAAAACCATACTTTGATTTACTCCTAGGACGTCTCACCTCCACTCCAACATATCAGAAACGTACGTACACCAGTCGTTCAGCCAAGAATTCAGGACTGCGCCTTGATTCATCCAGTTATTCCCGGGGCCTTCATGAATCCTGGGAATGGTATGATAAATGTGTGAAAAGAAATCGTGTAGGTGAGTTCTAGGTTTAAAAACGGGCTAAAGTGGGCGCGGGTCAGTGATGCATCCGACTATCAATGAGGAGTCCATCTGTCTACGGAAAAAAAATTGCGACGGCGCAAAAAGCTGTGCGAGGGTACTAATTAATCCCCCCCGGCTATTTACACCCGCGGAAACGAAAGCATTAGCGAAGTCTAAAGTTCGTCAATGATCGCGGGCGCTCACCAACGGTGTTGAGTGGGTGGTCATCACTGATCTCAAAATATGGCTGTTTGTCAGGAGTGAAGACGGCAAAAAATATAAAAAAAATACATGTAAGAAAGCTTGGAAAATCGTTTCACATAACAAATTGTACAACTTTTTTGCAATGTTTAAACGTAAACATTTATAAGAATTGATATTGTACGAGAAATCCTAAAGTATACGGCAACATCGCTAGAAATCGCGGACATTTAGAATACCGCATGCATTCTCGCCCCAGTCCCCATGTTCACTCTTTTTTTCAAATTTTATCAGGAATGTAGATGGTTATCCAATTTTTACATAAAATATCTTTTAAGAGTCAAATCAAAAACAAAATTAAAATTGTGCATTGTGGAAACAAAATTCCGTGAACTAATCAAGGAAATAAGAAAGAAAACTAACCCCAATAATAAAATATAATGATTATTTACGATACTTAAAACTGGGCAACAACCCAATTAAATGTGCGTGCAGGATTTCTAACTAATTTATCAAAACGACAATAATTCACATTTTACAAAGTCAAATTACGGCTTAATGATCGATGAACTTAAAAATTTGCGGTAATATTTAAATAATATGCAGATATTAGTATATACGAAACAATTGTTCGCATATCTTAATCTGTGGTGTCAATGTGTATTTGCTTCATTCCAAGTTTGCATAAAATGGAAGGTTCGTTTATTAGACACAATCATCAGGTTCTAATGTCGCTGTTTGGCGATGATTTTTTCGGCAAAAATGACACAAAATATATCATTCGAAAGCTCAGTCTTTTCTTCTGTTTTTTGTTTGTTTACATTTTGTAATCCTTTTAGTATGATTACATTTTGTAATAATCCTTTTTGTAATCCTTTTAGTAATGCTTTTAATTAATATTTAGAATAATAAATTTCGGGGATCGAAAGAGGTAATAAGAGACATAGACGTAAGGGATGTTTCGGGATTCAAATGTCCGCAATTTCTAGCGATGAAGCTTGTTTCAATTGTTTATGTATGACTTTCTATTTAATAATATAGACTTTGTTCTTGATGTTCAAGTCTTTCCTATGCATTGTTTGCGAAAGTTTCTTAGTTAAATTAAGTTTTGTAGAAGTTCATGATAAAAAGGAAAGCAAATTATTTTCATTAGCGTCCTGGACGAATTAAATTTGTTTCATTTCAAAGTGTATATATATAAATATTTATCGAATTGGTAGATAAAACGCGAAAAGAACGATCCATATATTTAACTTAAAAATCGCAGCAGAGACAAATTTACGTGTAGTAAACTTCTTGGATGTCACTTTCGACCTCAGCAATGGAAAATACAAACCTTACAGGAAACCCAATGACGATCTAGTATTATACATAGACAGACACTCAAACCATCCACATCACAGATCATAAAACAACTACGTATCCATAAACAAGCGCATCTCACTTCTCTTATTAGATGAGCAAACGTTTCAGGTGACTTCATCTACATGTATTTACCAAAATGCTCTACGACACAGAAATTTCAATAACAAACTAGACTACATGAAGAAAACACCACAACAACCACGCAGAAATAGTCAACGCTGCGTCATTTGGTTTAACCCTCCTTTCAGTAAGAGTGCATGTCAAAACCAACATAGGACTCAACATTCTCAGCCTGATTGACAAACATTCTCCGTCTCACGTAAATCACAATTTTCACAAAATATTTAACAGAAACACAGTTATATATTGGGTCATCTGTAGTTGCATGAACATTGTTAAGTCCATGCATCATTACCCAACATAATGCACCACATCGGTATGACAGCAACCACCTTTAAAGAGCGATGATACCGAAAGCACAATAGATCTTTCAATCACAAAAAATAGTCAAACGATACACAAATTTCGAAATATATTTGGAAATAAAAAGAAAACAAACAAGATTCGGACATAAATTGGTAAATACTAAAACGACCTGTTTCTTTTTAATCATAAAAAGAAATTTCTAGTAAATAATGATAACAATGGAAGGAATGGATGTATTGCTTGACGCCCACACGCCTACGTTTCCGACCGTCAACGTTAAAGCAGCCCAATTTTCGAAATTTTCAGCCATCTTTGTTTTGACATCGACAAATATAACGGGACGAAATGCGATATCAGTGACGATATCGTTTTTATGTACTGTATGTGATAAACATACCTGAGACAAGTATGTGTGAGACAAGTATGTGATAAATATATTTATCATTATTAAAGAATCAGGATTATCATAAGCTTCTGATATTTTCCAGGAATCAACTGCCCAGCTAAAACTACAACGGGAGATTGTTGTGTTTTTCCGTTCATTTACAAAAAGAAACGGTATGACTCATGTACAAAGGTGGACAATGGGAATAAATTATGGTGCGCAACCACAAGCAACTACGATAAAGACGCGAAATATGGAAACTGTAAAATCACTAAGGGTAAGCGACATGATATAGCATTATATAAACACAGCATGCAGATTGGCATGTTTTAAATTCTTTTCTTCCCATAGTATAAGCATAGAACAACAGTACTGAATTTAGAGTTAAGCTAAAACATGCAGTCTAGTGTATAAAGGTTACCATATTGCTGATCAAATTTTTTATCCTAATAAGATATCAGGATTATTGTTATATGGCAGGTATCACTTCTGGTGAAATGGCGGACTGCGATTGGCTGAGAAGAGCTTTCAGCGGCCCATAATTAGAGACCTTATATACGATTCAGGACGACAACGCAACGGCAACGGCTACCAATACAATAAATGATTGAAAAGAATTGAATAATTACAATATATTACAATATATGTATAGTTTAGACATTGTCCTCCTTCTGTTTACAACGCCAAATCACAGATTTTCACGTCTTGATACAACGGCTGCATTTCAAGCGGCAACAAGTGCAACTTTAAACTGGGTTCAGCAAAACTTTTCCCAACCATAAAACCCATTCATGTCTTCAACTCCTAAGACTGTATTAAATTCATACGATTGATAACATACGACGAATTATCTTTACTACCATTTATTTCGAGTTTGTTTTGGCCGTCGTCGTCGCGTTGCCGTCCTAAAATTGTAAGGTCTCTATTTTCCCGTAATGGACCGGCGGTCATTACGCAAAAACAAACGCATATATTTTAAAACAAAACGGCAAAACTAATTGAAAATATGAAAATTATAATTTAATTTGTTATTAATAAGATATCTGCGGATGGTTTTTAGTGGAAAAGAAGGAATACATTGTTGTTTTTTTCTTCGTCCAAATGTGTGCCATGCCACTACTATGCATTTCAAATCATGCATTTCTTGTTTGTTTCGAGTATAAATGCCTATAAATGCCATATAATAAACGTTTTATTAACCTCGCTTGCTCGGTATGTACAGAGAAATATCGGACCTCGGTCTATTTGTACAAATCTCGCCCTACGGGCTCGGTCTGTACAAAAAAAATCTTGGTCCGATATATCTCTGTACAGACCTCGCGTTCGGTTAATAAGAGGTTAATAAGCCAGAAATACGGATTTTTTTTCAGGAAAACAGGCTTGCGCAGTGAAAACTACATCACAACAATGTTGTGTCTTCCCGTTCCAATATAAAAAGAAATTGTATCGATCATGTACAAATGTGGACTATGGAAATAGATTATGGTGTGCAACAACAAGCAACTACGATAAAGATTACAAATGGGGAAGTTGTAAAATCATTCGCGGTAAGCGAGGTAAGCGATACGATATAGTAAGGAAATTACGATGAGACGGATGATATAGTAAGCAAATTACGATGAGACGAATTTTTCTAGTTTTACATTCGAATGTAGAACCAGACAGATGATTTCAATGATAAAACCGCAATAACTTCGTAAAGGTTAAAGTAATACAAAACTATTCAATGTCATTCTTCACAAACATTAGATGTTTGAGTGGAAAACACAATTTAGACATTTGTAACTTGCCAGGTTTTCTCTGGAGAATTCAGAGCTTTTGTCATTATAACGAGTATAGCCATGATCGAATGTAGAACCGCATTCTGAACTTTACGGATGATAGTATTCTAAATGAAATCATGCAACGCCATTCTACATTACTTTTATAGTATAATATAAAGACGTCTATAGCAGTTTCTACCAAGTAGGCCTAACGTTTTCTTTGCAGGTCGCGCGGAAGATTTGTTGTCATATAGCGTCAAGTTACAGAAGCAGATATAATAATAATTACAATATTTCGTCAGGGGGTCCACTCACAAAAGTGATTTCAGTGGAGCCCTGATAAAAAATAAAATTATAAAACTACAGTAACAAAAGTGAATTTATGAAAGGTTATATACTACGACGTTTTTGCGCATCCTATCAGTTCAGTAGAGTGTCCTATGTACCTAAATGTTTCTTTAGTTTTAGTTTCAAAAGTTCTAATTTGACGAATATTCCGGGTTTCCACAGGCAGACTGTTCCAGTCGTTGGCAGCATGGTAGCTGAATACCTGCTTTCCTCAATTCTTCTTGACGCTTTCCAAATGTATATTTTCGGAAATTTTTTTTATCATTCGGAAATCTTTGGCCTACACCCCCCCCCCCCACCCCCAACTATACATCCTATAGCTACGGCCCTGGGTGGTTCATCAGGACAGAGTTGTTTTTATCACCCCACGCAAAATCAGCGTAGTCAAAGATCGCAGGCATGACAAGGCTGTTTACTAGAGTACGACGAGATTCAACTGTTAGGAGGTGTTTAACTCTTCGTAGCCTATGATACCAAGACGTTGATTAACTTTCATATAAAGGGTGCTTTAATATGATCTGACCACGATAATGTCTGACTTAAGGTTATGCCAAGATACTTAAATGATTCAACACGATTTAGTGGATCGACTATATTATTAAAAAGTAGATTTATATTTTGTAGTTTGGCAAGTTTGGCATTTCTTCCCAAAACAATAAATTTGCATTTAGAAGTGTTAAGAGTCAAGCGGTAGAACCAAACCAACGAGAAGTTCTGTAGGTCAGAGTTTAGTTTCAATATGCATCCAAATATCAAAATAAAATCGCTAGCCGTGGGGGTTGAAGGGTCTGGCTGGGGAGTGAGGGAGAATTTTGCATAAAAAATTCCATAAGTTTTTAACATCATTGATTTCACCCAAAAGATGTAGTCAAAAACTGATCTTAAAATACCTTTTCTAAATCTGTTTCTTTCAAAGGATTAAATGATAGTCCTAATCCTAAAAATTATGGCGAGGAAACAACTGGAGGAATGTTTGACCCTAATTTTAAGAATTATGACAAGCAACTAATTGAAGGTACGTTTGACTGAATACTATTGTTTTTAACATTACTCGGTCTCCTTTGTTCTTTAGAGAAAATAAATTGATAATATCCCCAGTAATATTCTCCTCTGATATTTCCCCCTAATCATCACGGTTTGTCTTTTTTTCTTTCTCAATCAAAAGTGATCAGTGTTTGGGACTCGTTTCACTAAATGACTTTCATAAAGAATTTCTATCTATTATATCTCCTAAAATCCAACCTCGCTAATGTGAAAAAATAAATACGTTATTTTGAGGACCACGGGTATAAGTGTTTATATTATATAGTCAAAGTCGCATTTTTCTAGTGTTTTATTGGTCGAGAGCATATCACGCGAGAGTGACGAAATTAGACTGTCTCCCTCGCAACAGCGCGAGAGGGAGATAATACGTTATCGACCGGCGAATAACAAAAAAAAATCACGTGCGCCATCACGTGAAGATACGACCTTTGAACATGCCTAAAATGACTCACCTAAAATCATCAGTTGCACTTTGTCTTTGTTGATCAACGACATCGATATTCGGAGACCGAGTAGCTGTAGCTCTTGCGTTGTTTATCGGGCTGGAGCTCTGTGGCTCTGATTCCAATTCCTGTAATGCGTCCTTTAACGCATCTTTCGCACGTCTTCTCTTGACATCTTTAAACAATTTAAAAAAGGACAATAAACAAATGAAGCATGAAATTCTTCTTGGAAATTCTTCTTGACAAAATATACACGCAAATTATGAAAATCAGAAAATGCAAAATGTGAATTAATTTAAACATGTTTGGTGTTACCACTTACCACACGAAAAATTTTCCACTTTTCTTCCCGTTTTTCAACGTTTTACCATACGGAAAAGAGACAATTTTCTCGTACGACCCATTGCCTATCCAGTTCGATCCAATGCCTGTCCAGTACGATCCATTGCCTATCCAGTACGACCCACTGCCTGTCCAGTACGACCCATTGCCTATCCAGTACGACCCATTGCCTGTATCCAGTACGACCCATTGCCTATCCAGTACGACCCATTGCCTATCCAGTACGACCCAATGCCTATCCAGTACGACCCATTGCCTATCCAGTACGACCCATTGCCTGTATCCAGTACGACCCATTGCCTATCCAGTACGACCCATTGCCTATCCAGTACGACCCAATGCCTGTCCAGTACGATACAATTGACCGTGATGACACAATAATGCTTTGACTCTGAAACAAATTTGTCCCTAATTCCCCTCCATAAAATGCCTTTGGCAAATAGCGAAGGAAGCAACAGTTGACATCTGCTGGCACTGTAACGTACTGGTCGGAAAGAATATCCTTGGCAACTTCATGAAAAATATTTCAAGAGCAGCCGACCTGTCCAAAAGTTCCAAAGAGTACACAAACTACAGCATACGAGAGACGGCTGTAACCTCATACGAGAGACGGCTGCTAGACCACTCCAACTTCGAAGTCAGGCACATAATGCGAGTTTCTGGTCATAAATCAGAAGCAAGCATCAGAAGTTACTCACGTCGCCTTTCAGAAAACAAGCAAAGAGAAATTTCCGAAACACTTGGTCAGGCGTGTGGATTTCCTTCTGAAATTGAAGAGACAACCTTGTCTTCGCCTTCAGAAACCCTGCTAGAACTGACGTCCAGCCAGTACGAAAATGCATTGGATACAATATGCTTCTCGCCTCTACCAGGTTATTCGTTGTCTGGCTCACCGGTTCTTCACGCAACACAAACAAACACTCTTAAGAATGTCACGTTTGCAAGTGGTGCATTCAATAATTGCAATGTAACCTTTAATTTTAATAGCAAGTAGTTTTTCTATCCTTGAATGACTGTTAATGACTGTTGTTAAGAGTGTTGTTTACTTTTTCAAATAAATTGGATGCTTTTTATTAAACATTTGATCACTTTATAAACTTTCGCTTTTAAGCAACTGTGTTTATTAAATTTAACGTTTTAACAATAAAATATCTCATGTATTTATACGTTCATTTGTTCTTTAATTAAGCTCAGACGATAGAGCATCGTTCTAGAAATGCGAAGGTCGCGGGTTCGAATCCCAGCCGCGGTCAAGTAGAATTTTCTGCTTGCCCGGTTTGGTATACACTCGTCTGAAAACAACTCAAAAACCGCTACATATATATATATATATATATATATATATATATATATATATATATATATATATATATATATATATATATATATATATATATATATATATATATTTAAGCAATAATTAAAGCAGTCGAAAAAATATTCGATGACATGTCTCACTACCAATAAATGAATGGAGAAACAATTTAACTAGACATTTTTAGTTTGCCATATATTGACGTTAAAATTAAATTGGACATCAATGGGCAGGTATTTTCCACCTCAGTTTTTGGTCGCAAATAAGAAGTTCGAGGGTCCAGAAATTGCTTTAGAAATTGGTTTAAAAAATTGCTTCTGTTTTAACGCCATTAAATTTATCCAAATAAATGTAGTGATCCACTGATCATAAACTACTTCTCTTTGTTGCAAAGGATCAAATCATGGTCCTAATCTCAACAATTATGACGAGGAAAGAACTGAAGGAACGTTTGATCCAAATCTTAAGAATTATGACGAGCGAAAAACTGGAGGTAGGTTTGACTAAATTATATTATATTATATTATATTTTATATAATACCTTATTAAATTCTAATCATTTAATTGGCTGTTTATGGTCACGTGATAGTGAATAGAAAATTCCATTTCCCAAGAGTGCAATGGAACACGTTCCATTGCACTCTCCGCGAGTGCAATGGAATAAAACGTATAGTACAATTGCACTCTTTGTGTTTTCGATAAATCGCATCCCTCAAAATGCTTCTCATACGAATCTATTAGTCTATTTTGGTATTATATAAAACAAATAATGAATGTTTCTTCGTGCAATGGTAAGAATATTTTCATTCGGTGAAAGATGGAATGTTCCATTCAACTCGGCTGTCGCCTCGTTGAATGGAACATTCCATCTTTCACCTCATGAAAATATTCTTACCATTGCACTCATAAACATTCATTATTTGTATAATATTATATTACAGTTGTCATGATTTATTTCGGCAATTAATACATCTATACAAGGTGTTCCAAAAAACCCCAAAACTATTAAAATAACGCATTGATAGAATTGGAATGCCTCAGCACTCTGCACGAGCTTCACCATTGAATATCCGAAACACGTCCGAATTTATCATTATGATAAATTCGGGGCACCTAACCCCCAATACTATAACCCCTAACCACTAACCCCTAACCCGAATCAAACTTTTTAACTTTTTTGAAAATCTAGTTTTTTATTTACTTTTTTTGCTTTTTTAAACTTTTTTAAAACTTATTTTAATTAAAACTTTTTTAAAACTTTTTTGAAACTTTTTTACTTTTTTTTAAAAAATCTTTTTTCATGTACTGAGTATGCGCGTTTGGTCACTAAAAGGCTGGCTAATTGATGAAATACTTCATGATAAGAAAAGGTTTAGGAAGTAATGGAGACAATTTCTAGTTATATCATTGCTATAAAACTGTTCACTTAACTGGATGACTCGTATCATGAACGGAACAAATACATATCAACAACTAGAATGACAGCGCGTCCGGCTAAAAATGTGGTAGGTATACAGGTTCAAGCCCGGTGTGAGATTCCTGCACAATCAAAACAAACAATAGTACATCACAGTTTTGTTGAGAATTTTCTTCCTCTTCTTAGGACTATTCACAGCTGATCAGAAACTGAAGGGTAAGACAAGTATTTACACTCGTCAAAATCCAAATGGTGGTCGTAGTGGCTATGAATGTCCCGAGGAACGAGATTACTATCCTTACTGGCATCCTACTGACTGGACTGATATAGTGGTATTTGCTCATAATGAAGCGATATGTCAATATTATCAGAGAGAAAGTTTTAATGTCAAACCTAAAGGTAAGTCCCCATGGACACGATCACTTGGTCACTTGGTTAGTGTACAGTATTCTACTGGAACCTAACCGACTGGACAGTTATAGCTTTTGCGAGGGTTCACATGATTGAAGTTTATGAATTATTAATGAGTGTTTTAATTATAATTTCGCATCTGATGCGTAAAGAATCCTGGCAAATTATTTTTCTGAAACACTATTTTCTTTGTTTCGACTCTAATTAAAATCTTGTTCTTATGCAACTCAAATTGTTGAACTTGTTTATCTTGTTCTTTGCTATCTAAACTATACCAAACATCCATGCACAATAATTATATGAGTTGACATGAAGTTGTGATGTTCAGTGACGCGACGTTTTTTACTAACGTTTCTAGACAATATGCGTTTTTCTAAAAATTTCTTATTTCTTTGTTCGCAGAGGAATGTCTTCAATACTACAATTCGAAAACAGACGGTTTCCGCCATGACTCGATTTATAGCAACAAAAAGGACTGCGAAAATAATCGTGGCTTCTGGATTTCATTCAGCAACTATTTGGAAGAATATCCCAAGTATCAAACAGAACGAGCATGTAATGCTGGAAGTTCTAGTCAACTACCTCTTAAATGGGACATTCCTTACCGCTCCGAAGATATTGACAATTTAAGAATGACTGGTGGCAATGTGGAGTCACTAAAACGTTGTTTGGTCGCCCTTGTTCCGCCAGAATGCACGAAAGCTCCACGTACAAGAACAAATCATTTAGGAAATGCCGATGGTGTGGTTCCTCTGCGTTACAATTGGGTCATTCCACATTTCCCGTCTGGTCATGCACAAAGATGCATCATAAGAATAAGGTTAGCTAGAAGGTGGTAATAAGGTTTCTTCTCCTGTAATACTCGTTTTCTCTTTACAAGGGTCAATAGGCTTTTGCGATATGTTGTACAGCTTTTCTTTTGATAAAATTTAAAAAGGAAACTTTTTAGTTGGAGTGTTAATAAATGCCAGCTTGAGGTATATAAATTAAAACACTTTGGAGATCAGTTTTCCTAAATCTAAGAACAATACACATATACTGCATTGGCTGTTAAAATGTTTAATTCCACATTAATTTAATAATAATATTTTAATAATAAGTTTTATTATCCATCAATAGATAAAAAAATACAATGGATTTACATTTAAAAAATATTTGCATATAGTACATTGTTAAAAAAATTACATCAATTAATCAGTTAATGAACAGGCCCTAGAGATGAACGAGTTCTTGTGTCTATCTGTATTTGATATTGTTTTGTTAAATTTAGGTTTACTTCTAAGATTATAGTTATGAATCTTTGGACTAGGTAAAAATACTCGGCATGGGTGATTAGTGTCAGATTGAATTTTCAAAAGCTCTCTCTTAGTTGCTTCAACTCTTCCTTCTCTAAGGGTAGGTAGCATTGGCGTACCGGGAGGGGCGGGGGGTGGCGGCAGCCCCCAGTTTGTTGGGCAGTCGGGCAATATTCGATCAACGTACAGTCGGGCAATTTTGGTTTATTATAAATATAAATGAGGACAAATTCTGTCAATTTTGTCGGAAATTCTGTCAATTTTGTGGTCAATTTTGTGATGTTTGGAAAATTTGTGTGATGTTCCGACAAATTTTGGTGTCTGAAAAATTTTTTGACCCCTAAAATTGTACACTGACCGAAATTTTTTTGGCGACGGGGGGGAGGGGAGGTCGTCAAAATAAATTCCGGAAAAATTTTTTTCCGTACTGGTCGGGCACAATCCGGAAAAGTCGGGCAAATTTCTTTCCGCCCCCCTAATTTTTCCCTTCCGGTACGCCCATGATAGGTAGGTGGTTCTTCGGCAGGCCAATGGTCTTCATACTTCTAGTTTGTATTTGTTCTATTTCATTAATTTAAAACGTAGCATAAAATACAAGCTAATTAGTTATATTTTTCTCAGCCCATGATATGGAACATTTACACTATTAATTTAATTTACTGTGTTTTCTCTATTTTTCCACTGGGGCTTATTTCTTTCCACTAGTATAGACTGGGGGCTTGTTAGAATGTGAGGGGGGGGCTAAAAAAATTTGGTTCTTTAAAAGATATCAAAACACAGAACTATCACTAGACGAATACTTGGAAAAAAATGTCTTACAATTTACATTAATAATATAATTTAGTTATGCCATTGAACGTGATATACATATTATTATCAGTGAACATGCATTTTAAAGAACATTGGTGTCGTATAACCTTATGTTGAGCATGGGTGGGGCGTATTTGTTTCAGCGCTTCTAGACTCTGCGCTAATTAGAAGGGGAACCAACTGGGCCTGGGGGATAAATAAATAAAATACGGTACACTCACAAGTTTATTTATCAAAGAACGTTTCAGAAAATTAATGTAAAATGTTTCCTTTATGGGGCACTTAACATTTAATAACCGTATAATAAATCTGAGGTCAACTGACGTTGTAAGGTTTTAATTTTCACTCCTTTTTTCTTTGTTTAGGTACAACATTTCAACAGGCGATTATCCACCGTTTAACACATTCGGCGACAAAAATGAAGATCCGTAAGTATTTTATACATATGGGCACGATCTGAAGGGCAGTGGTAGAAATCTAGGTTGTGGCAAATGCCACTTTCACGTGAAAAACAACTATTTATCGGAAATGTTGACATAAAAGTCAAAGCAGATAATTTCGGTGGTATATGGTGGCTTCGTCTGAAATGTTCGGTCCTGCCAGATATTCAGTAGAGTTCATCCCATGCAACCGCGAAAAGTGAATTTTCGCCACTGGTAACCTAAATATTATTGCATCTATATATACATGCAGTACATGAAAACTCTTTCTCAGCCGGCGGTCTCCGGCAGTCTCCCCGTAACGCATATCACCATGCAGTGAAAACAATGCGATGCTGGTATACCCTATGAGTCTCAAAACACATGAAGTATATAGCGCGTGATTTGACAGTGTATCCGACTACGGGAGCTTCTTATTGGCCAACGATTACGCGCGTGCAAGTAAACCCAGTAAAACCCAGTTTATAATATAGTCATTCACCGTATATGAGCTATTCTGCAATCTGATTGGTTGAATTACTCGCCGTATATATATATATATATATATATATATATATATATATATATATATATATATATATATATATATATATATATATATATATATATATATATATATATATATCAGCCCATATACGGCGAGTAGAGAAAAACAAGATGGCGGTCCAAAAACTACATGAGTTTTGCGAAGCAGAAAAAAAGAAAATATTCGCTTTGAGAATGATAATAGTACAAGGAAAAATTCTCAAAAACATTTAACAGGTTAGCAAAATACATTTATTACATAGAAATTAGTTTAAATGCAAGTTATTTTAAAGAATTAATATCGAAACAACAGCGAAAAAAACATGTTCATTGAAAATATAAATTGTTCAGAAAAGTTTGCAACGAAAGACAAATGAATTTGCAGTCAACAAGCACTTACTATACTACCAAACATCTGTATAATATATCTGAGCTTTTCTGTGAGATATACCGGTTCTAAAACCATTTCTTTTACTTCGTCTTCGAGTTGTAAAACAAAAGTATTTCAAATTTTCAAGGCCAAGCGGTTCTTGGCCGAACAAATTGTCAAGACATTGACATTGTAACAGACTAGAGGATAATTAATTATTGGTTCAGTTCAGTAATGGATATTAGACTATATTATAAAACAATTATCCCATTCGCTCTCGTCGTATATGCCTGATAGCCGACACGGTGCTACGCACCTCGTCGGCTATCAGCTCATATACGACTCGAGCTCATGGTAGCTATAATTGTTAAATATTCAGGTTTTTCTTCAAATGAAATTCAGAATGTTTGGCCAAGGCTGAGTAAATGTATGATTGTTTTGGTTTGTGTAATGGTTTGACCGCATTTGATCCCCTGTTCAAAAGGTTATTTTATTCAACTACGAGGATTTCGATGGTGCTTTTCGTTTTAAAGTGGGGTAAATACCACTGAAAAAAAAATTGAAAATCCATAGAAGGCCATAGAATGGAAATTGTAATGGACCTTCATTGGAAATAGGATGAACTTTGATTATCCATAATATTTGTGTATTTCTATACTATGGAATAATAGTATATATCGAAATATTATAGATATACTATAGATTTAGTGCTGCAATTGCAAATTTCATGGTATGGATTTCACTTTTTCCCCCAATCTACTCGCTCAGATATCTACATTAGAAACAATTTAATCCTAAATATCAAATTGGGGCCGATCGAGAAAGCTAGTTTTAAATAATAATTGGCTTTCGGCAAACAATAACAATTTGATTTACGTCAGAAACTTGGGAGGGAATGCGTGGGAATGGACAACTGATTTTTATCTGCGACTATTCATTCTTCGGCGCATGAGACTACGACAGAATAAGACTACGAAGTCTTATTCCGCCCCAAAATTTTATTTTTGTTTATCAGGAATAACGGTGTAAAATCTCCAGTACAGAACAACCCAAAAGTCGATGTTGGTGATGTAACAGTTCAGCTGCCATTAAAACTTGCCATCAACACAGCTCAATTTGGACGTACTTTTCAAGATCGATCTCATTTATTCAAGCTCCTACCCAGGCCTAAATCTGTGTCAGATGATGACATCATCCACAATCTGAACGCACGAGGAAAGCGCGGGAATATCGTTCAAACTTTTCCAGCGGTGGAATACGATTTTATACCGAAACGATTGGATATTCCAAGCACCAGTCTTGTGCATATCCAGTGGACTGGTAAGTTTTGTTTACTGTCGAAAATTTATTCCAAATTTTTTGTAGCTGTACGACGTATCCATTGTATGATTGGGAAGGAGTGTTCCAATTTAAAAGTTTCCCTGGTTCTTGCATTGTATCAATTACGCAAATATTTCATTACCGAGGTTTATTTGACTCCGAATTCAAGATTAGCCAAAAAGAGATTAAAGTCATGTATTTCGCCTTCATTTTCTACCGATTACGTCACGACGTACTTTTGAAACCATTGTATCTACGCCACCACGTTGGAAGTTTCGAAACAACATCTGATGTACTGGCGACGAAATTTGTACCCTATGCATGTCAAGCCTAAAGCTGTTTCATGCCGTCTTTCAAACATGCACTACGATCACCTTAATGGATGAAATTAGACAATTTTTCCCCAGTATAACTTGCTATGGTTCATGCATAAGTTCCTTTTTCTTTTCTGATTGTCCATTTCTATATCACATGCATATATGTCGGTAATTAGCTACCTTAGAAATCAGTATAAATTGCATAGCGTACAGACATAGTGAGATATACTTATCTTAAAATGACCCTCTTTTTTTCAAAGGATCAAATACCAATCCTGGGAATTATGCTGGGCAAGGAACAGCAGGTATAGCTGAATGGTATTATGCACTTAATATCTGCTCACAAAGGGAATAGTTAGTTTTGTTTACCCTAGAATCCCGTGCGTATTTGTTATTATATAATCATCCACTCACACCGTCATGTCGCAGATACATATGTACAGTGTTGGGCGCACCTATTTTTAAAATTATACCATTCAATCGTTCACAGACTAAAGATGTGAAATCGTTATGCGATATATATATATATATATATATATATATATATATATATATATATATATATATATATATATATATATATATATATATATATATATATATATATATATATATATATATATATATATATAGGCATATATATGCATATATACATATATATATATATATATATATATATATATATATATATATATAATTTGTTTTGTTGTAGTAGATAATAAAGTGCTCAACACTAATACAAAAGTAGAGCAAGATATATTTATATCTTAAAATTAATTATTGCTACTCAAGTTTCACGCCTTATTCAAGACGATCTTCAGGCAATTAATTCAGTTTGTGTTTGATTTGTCAGCATCAACGGTCGGTCGCTGACGCGTAGGTTTGTCTTGCGTCATCGGTTTGAATTTGCACGCGCTAAATTTTTCCTTATGACAGCACTTCGCATAAAACTCTGATCGCGTGTTCAGTGAATTGTTCCCTTTCGCTTTCAGGATGCATAACTTCTCTTCCAAACAGAGGCCACATCGTTTTCCACCAGGCGTATACGCAGCAGCTCTTTTCAAGATGGACCACTTGATGCTATAATTTCTTCTGTTTGGAAGAGAAGTTATGCATCCTGAAAGCGAAAGGGAACAATTTACTGAACACGCGATCAGAGTTTTGATGGAAGTGCTGTCATAAGGAAAAATTTAGCGCGTGCAAATTCAAACCAATGACGCAAGACAAGCCTACGCGTCAGCGACCGACCGTTGATGCTGACGAATCAAACACAAACTGAATTAATTGCCTGAAGATCGTCTTGAATAAGGCGTGAAACTTGAGTAGCAATAATTAATTTTAAGATATAAATATATATATATATATATATATATATATATATATATATATATATATATATATATATATATATATATATATATATATATATATATATATATATAGATGACAAAATACAATATTCGTATCAGCCAGTTCGACATTTATATACAACAATTATATACTACGTAGGATATGCTCCAAGGAAGAGGACTTTCGTGCCAAAAGTGCGGAATATGCCAATTATTTAATTGAATGCGGACACGAAAAAGAACATGTCTTAGATAAATTTAGGGAAGTAGGTAAAATTTCTAGGGAAGATGCACGCAAAAGTAAGAATAAGTCCAATGAAGGATATTGTTGTTTAGTTACTAAGTATAATCCGCGTGGACCAGACATACGAAAAATCATAAATAGACATCACAAGTCCATTATCTGTGGTGATGAGAAGGCTAGAGATATTCTACCCGAGAAGGTTATTCGTGTGTCTTTTAAGCGCAACGCAAATCTAAAGGAGTTATTGGCTCCCTCCAACCCATATGGCAAGGAAAATACTGAAGTAGAACAATTCGGTTGTTTTAATTGTACAGCAAAGCGTTGTGACTGCTGTAAGAATTTTTGTTAGAAGGGCACACTTTTCGTTCCGTTATTACCAAGAAAGTTTTTAAAATCTGTAAATCGCTTACATGTACGTCCAAGGCAGTGGTATATCTTGCCGAATGTTTGGCTTGTGGTTTGCAGGGTGTTGGTTCTACTGTTAATTTTAAGGCCCGCCTTGCAAACTACAAGTCACACATTAAGCGTGGGCACAGAACTTGTAGTATTGTTAATCACTTCCTGGATTGCCACGGGGCTGATCATTCATATTTGAAATTTATGCTGATTGATCAGCGCTGTGGTAATCTGTTGGAATGTGAAAACTTCTGGATTGGGACCCTTTTGACTAATCGGGGAGGGTTAAATGATAGTCATGATTTTGTGCAACAGTGACTTCTTTGTCTATCACTAAGCTTAATTAGTTATCATTATTGTAATATTTGCATATTATTGGTGTATATATATACGTTAGAAATTATTAGTAATATTATTTCTGAGGAAGGCTGAGACATTCAGTCGAAAATTAAAACTTTATTACTTTAGTACATTTTTAGTATTGGTTTCTCTCGGATCGTAGCCAGCTATTCTGTTATATATATATATATATATATATATATATATATATATATATATATATATATATATATATATATATATATATATATATATATATATATATATATATATATATATACATGTTCAGCGAGAGAGCCCAGCAGATTTCGGTAAAATGGTCCCTGATTTCAAAAAAAGTGGTCCCTGGCCTGGTTACCAAGCATACCGCATTTGTAAATAGAAAATGTTATGGAAATCTCCTTTGCGTTTATAATTAAGTCATTAGTTTTGCTCTAATGCTGTCGGAACAATGAAATAGGCTACGTTTCGCTACCATACCGTCAGAATGGAATAACGGGCTAAACATGACTCGTGTTTACTAAAATATAAAGTCATATTAAATGCTATCTAGAAGCTTGAAAATTATGCCGAGTTTCCGACTAAAAATGTTTTGACAACACAGTCATGTCAGGCAAATATTTACAATCTCCTGAGCTACTTAAACCTGTCAAGTAGAAAGCGTAGTTGTGTATACCATGCAGTATGGTCTAGTGTTGATCACAACTTGCGAGTATATAAATAACATCAACTTAACGATTATACGACCATTGCTCAGACTCAGTATCGTAAAATTTGCCATATAATTTTTTTAATTGAGCACATTTTTAATACAGTTTGTATTTGGTTATGTAGACATCGAACATGATCAACGAACATTGTCGTATTTACAAGGTTATTTGTATATATAAATTTTCCGCCATATTAAAATACTGAAATCTGCTAGGCGTTCTGAAGCACCTTTAGCGGTGACGTCACACCTAGGTCCCAGTCTCGTACTATATCCACGTTTTGTCTCGCCCCTACTTCAGAACGACTGGGACTAGGCTGTATGTGGCCATTTCTCATCGTTACGGTTTAAGAAAGGTATCATAGAAAAGCTAAATAACAGCTCTTTCGTCCTATGTAAAAATTAAACTGTTTAGTTAAGTTTGTGATGCACAACAGTCTGTTGAATTTCCGTAGCGTTCTTTTTGAGACACCCTGTATAACCATACTATACAACAATTATATAATGCCACATGCTTTATCAGATATAAAGTCACTCCACGTGACATATTATGGCTGACATATGATTTGCCACAAGGTTTATGAATTATTAATGAGTATTTTATATATATATATATATATATATATATATATATATATATATATATATATATATATATATATATATATATATATATATATATATATATGTATATATATATATATATATATATATATATATATAAAGTTTGACCTTCGAATATATATGTCAGCCATTTTGAATTTTCTTGGGTTAATTATACGCGAACGCATACAGCAAATGTCGCTCGCAACGTACTGTATATTGCAACATTCCAACAGCTCAAATAAGTAAAGGATCATTGCTTGAAGTTCTTACACATATTTGTAGTAGCTATCTAATGAACATTTGAGGGTTGTTAGCTAATTAACTCTTGTCTCAATTTGGAACCTGATCTTTTTGGCATGTCCTAATTTATTCTTTTGCATCCTTAGAGATTGAGACGCTTATTAGCATGCCTCGATGAATTTCTTTGTTTATTCTTTCGTATTCACTTGTGCTTATTTTATAGCTTTAACCTACGTCCAGAATTATTATATTTTGCCGGAAATTTAAACGGAATCGATAGTCATTCGATATTTCATCCCCTGAAACTCAGCACGCGCAGCATTCGTGACCTGGCGAAGCAGGTCACTATGTTCATTTTCAAATGTTCATTTCCTACTAGCCATTATGATTATGTGCAAAGACATCAATCAATGATTCTTTTATTCATTTGAGCTGTTGGAATAATATTGCAATATACAATACGTTGCGAGCGACATTAGATGTATGCGTTCGCGTATAATTAACACAAGAAAATTCAAAATGGCCGACATATATATATATATATACATATATATATATATATATATCTATATATATATATATATATATATATATATATATATATATATATATATATATATATATATATATATATATATATATATATATATATATATATATATATATATATATATTCGAAGGTCAAACTTTTCTGGATCCAGTGTATATTTATCACTTATTTACTGAGACCGAGGGAAACAGCGTCGATGCTTCCCGAGGCGAAGCCGAGGGAAACATCGACGGTCGAGGGTCCACAAATCACACTGCTTTCCCGAGGTCTCAGTAAATAAGTGTTTTATTATATATCAATAGTCAAAGAAACAACAAATTAAAGAACAAATCAACGTAAATACATGAAATATTTTATTGTTAAAACGTTATATTAAACACTGGCTACACTGCAGTTACTTAAAGCGAAAGTTTTAATTACGTACTAGGCATGTCCAAAGGTCGCATCTTCACGTGATGGCGCACGTGATTTTTTTTTTGTTATTCGCCGGTCGATAACGTATTATCTCCCTCTCGCGCTGTTGCGAGGGAGACAGCCTAATTTCGTCACTCTCACGTGATATGCTCTCAACCAATAAAACACTAGAAAAATGCGACTTTGACTAATGATATATAATAACACTTTATAATACATTGCATAACACTTTTTAAAATGTGGCTTTCTTTTCCTTTACTGTATATAGCAATCATTACTGAAGATATCCCAAACCATTGTCCACCGACTTGCATGCCAACCAACATGTGTCGACCCCAGTGCCCCATACAATGCTGTACCCCTCCCACCACAAATACCTGTCAACAACAAGCCTGTCCCAGCGCATGCGCACCAGGTTGTACAACGACATGCTGCTCGCTTGGATCGTCGGCTCACCTTGTTAAAAAATCCACAAAATTAACAAAAAGTTAAACGCTGATGGGGACAAGTTTGAAAACAAATTGCTCGCTTACATTAAGTGACGGTAAACAATAAACTACTGAGGAAAGAACACTTTTAAAGTAAAATATTGTAACATATACTTACAAGCCTAATGGTATAAAGGTAAAAGAGTTGTAAACTGTATACTTAAAAGTAATGATGAACCACAAAATTACTGCTGTTAAAGTTTTTTATTTCTTACCATTAAAAAATAACTTGAGAATGCATGGAGTTATTCTCCGTCTGTTACTTTATCTTTTGAACTAATAAATCAAATATACGTGGCGATTCCTTAAATTAAACCAAAATGCTGATTAAGAAAAAATACGTTTGGTGGGCGTTTGTACCTAAAACCTTTCCATAAAAACAAAAAAAAAGCGTAAACTTTCTTAGATCTTGAATTTGAAGATAGAATTTGAATCTTGAAATGTGTGAGGTCGCTTTTTCTTTTTAATGACTCTTTTGATATGTCGTGTTGTTTTTACGGCTGTACCGAACTATGATAACGATTCCGATTAAAATCACTTTATAACAATGAATAATGAAAAAAGTACAGCTACCGACCAACATGGAATAAGTTGTAGTAACACAACCAACGTGTCAAACTCCGATTTGGAAATAATCGGTTTAACTACTGTAGTAAACGCGAGTTTCAAAACCGCAATTTTGTGCGGGAATTTGGCGGGAAATCCGTATTTTTGGATCAGGTAGAAGAAGAAAAGCTTTAATTAAACGCCCACCAAACGTATTTTTTTCGTAATCAGCATTTTACTGGCTTGCTTCACTGAAAATTTCGTGAAACTACATCTATAAGATTAGTTACGAAATGTCCAATCTATACCAGAACACGCGTCTAGGGTGTGATATCAGCATATCACGTTGAAGTGAGTTTGCCAAAGAATACATGCCTAGCAACTGAAATGTATACGCAGATATAGACAATAACAAAGCTTGACACATTAATTTATTAATACCCCGATCATATACACAACATTTTCACCTGCTTCCCTCGACACGGAACGATAGCGTTTAATCGATGCATATATATTTATCTGTATTTGCCGAGATTATAACCAACAACATGCGGAAATCGAAATGGCCAAACTTATATATACTGTATATAGCATATATACCTTGCTACGTTTTTTTGGTATTGCAAATATTGAATCGCTTCAATCGTTTTTAAAAATACCCGCTCAGACTCATTTGACACGAATGTCAACATTCTGATATTGTCGCGGTTGTTTGTCGTGGCTTGTGGTTCGTGCATGTCTCGTGGAAAAAACTCGTGGGTTTGGCCAAAATTTTTAAAACCACATTAACGACTTGGATTCAGCATTGCGTACATGTTTTAATGGATATTAATACCATAGAGCTTACAGAAGAATAAAGCGGGCATTGCAGGAAAAGTTGAGGCAAACGAAAGGGACAATTTCGAAGCTTGCTAATGGGGGCAATTTGAGTTATACCCATGAATATGTAAAACAAAAATCTCATTTTGTTCATCTTTTTCAAGTATTCAATCGCGGTATTACATTTGTTTGTGGCAAAGAATTGAGGAATTTCCGTTTTATATCGAGCCCTGGTAGGAATATTTCCAACAAATACTTGAAGGAGTAAATTTGAAGTAGTTGAATCCACTCCCATGCAGGGTTCAAGACCAAAAAAATTCCAAAGACTTTCAAAGATATTTTCTGCCTATTTTCAAAGACCTTTAAGAGCAATCAGCTGTCGAAAAATTGCGAGTGTATATAGCACCATTTTTACCCGGTAATTAGTCCCGTCAAATCACATCCTAAAATTGCGCCTTTTCGTCGATATTTGCGAAAACCTTGCTCTTTAATCAATCTATTTTATTAGCTAGGAAATCGTATGATCAAATACTCACTAAAAAATTTAAAAAATTTTAAAGACTTTTTCGCCTTTTCACACAATTCAAAGACTTTTCAAATACCTTAAAGGCCTGCATTCAAATTTAAAGACTTTCACTCAAAGACCGCTACGAACCCTGACTCGAAAAAGTATTATTCTAGCTGTCACCAAAGACGGTGACTCATGAATAACACTTTTGGACTGGACTTTTCAAAGGCACAGTGTATAATTTCCCCAAAGCAGGGCCGTCAGTCGAAACGTCGAAATTCCTGTATCCACGACACTCGACTTCTTACCCACGAAGCACGACCAAAACTCGCGCTGAGTTTATAATTATTGCCCAAGTGGTTTGTTTGCGATCGTGAAATTACGGCAGGAATGGCGCGATTCTGACTGTTTTATCTCGTGATCTGTAAACAAGTGTTATAAGTTTGACACCTTGCTGTAATAACTTTGCAACGATTTCATGAAATTGAAATGCAGATCGATTAAACGGTCAATGTTTATTCATTAAATGTTATCGCGTGCAGATATACGTATGTAAATGATAGTAGAAACTCACTACTAAGAGCATATTAAAGTTTTGTGGAGTGACAAAAAAAGCTTTTGCCCTGTCAGAAGGATAAACAAACGTTTGGATGTTTTGGAGAATTAATATTTGCAATCTAAGCGGGTCGGTGTAAAGGATAAATCGTTTTAACTTGGATTTGTTCGTAAATTTGGAAAATTTATGCCGTTTCGCTTGAGAATGGGCAGTAGAGTGAGCACAAATAATAACTCGAATGGCGAGCTGAAATCGCCAACTCGGCATGGGAAAACCGCTCTAGTCGAATTGCAACGCGAATTACTCGAACGGGACGAGTTGATTTCGAAAAAGGACGCCGAACTTAACAAATTGCGCAACGAATTGACGGAACGCGATGAAGAAATTATTAAACTTCAAAAACGCATCCACGAATTAGATTGTGTAGTGCAACAGACATCCAGCAAGACGAATATCGGCGAACTGCCTAAAATTGTAGAGGAAAAACCGCCTCTTGTTAGGAATAACTCGATGAAATGGAAAAGGCAAGCTGTGAGCGGTGAAAGTAGTTCAAATATACGAAGGCAGGAGTCCAATCGCGAGCTATTAAAGTTTTCAAAAGATTCAAGGTAGGTAAATAATGTAATCTATGTGATAATGCGAGTTGGTTAACATTATGAATAGCTTCTGCACTATGTAATCGGAAAAGGTTCTATATGCAATTTTTTGGAATCTTCTTTGAGGTTTGTAACAATTGTGAGTTTTCAAGAGTTTTATATACACTGTCACATACTTGATCAACGAAATCTCGATAGTGCATGCTTATAAGCCTTAAGTCTTTCAAATATGTTTGTTGACACTGCCACACTTTAATCAGAGAATAATAATTATGTACTATATATGGTTATATGCGTTCAAAGAAATATATATCAATATATATATATATATATATATATATATATATATATATATATATATATATATATATATATATATATATATATATATATATATATAGACAAGTATCGAGTTTGGAATCATATATGAGTAGAGTGCTCAATACCGTAGTAGAGCTGATAAGATTAGTAATTCAAGTTTGTCTTCTAATCTAATCTAGAGAGAGAGCTGATATATATATATATATATATATATATATATATATATATATATATATATATATATATATATATATATATATATATATATATATATATATATATTATATAGTTAACTTTTTTATACCACAAGACGGTATATAATATGCAGTTTCCTTTCTATAATGCGCCAAGATTAATAATTGTCTACTCTATAATCAAAAGATGTATATAAATATAATATAATATATTATATAGTTAATATTTAGATGTTAGACTTGGTCCATAAACTCGGGCCATTGCGCATTAATTTTCTCCAGACCTGCCATACATGCATGTAACTGACACCAGCCGCCATGCAATCTCAACTTAAATTCACGTAAACACTCTGAAACTTATCGGGAAAAATAAATTATGAATGAAAAAGACGTATATTTTGCACTATACACGACATTAAACGGTCTGCTCGAAATGACGAATGAGAAATATTTATAATTTATTAAGATATATAGCGCGATTGCCACAAAATGTCAAATTTTGTCAATCAACTGCATGACATATTTTTAATTAAATTTTTTATCATTCTCATGCTCGACTATTAATAGTATTGTTAAGCAATTTTGAAAAGTAAATAAAATTAAAATTAATAATCATGAAGCATATTACTAAACCATAATAATATATTAGATTAGAATATATATATATATATATATATATAGTAGTTCATAATTTCCAGTCTTAAATCCGTCTTACCTGCATGTACCTGGCAGAGCGTCGATCTAGGGCGGCAGGCATTATCTTTCTGCTGGCGCGCGGTCTGGAAATTACGAAATACACACTCTAGAACATTTTCATTTATATATATATATATATATATATATATATATATATATATATATATATATAGGGAAGGGAAGCCATCGCTATATTACAAGTATATTATAATGAGTTTTGCGCTACCTGCATTCTCGGAGACAGCATGCAGCGTGGATGTTTGCTTCATTATGCCATATTTTCTTCAAAAACCTGAATAAAAAGTAAACATTTTGAAAAAAACTTTTAAAAGCTGCATGCTTTCCGGAGCGTTTTTCACAAGTTTAAATTATGCATTCGAAAGGTTAATGTTATGAAATAACTATAAATTGATAAAAGCATATATGCAGCATTTGGGTGCGTGATTCATACCTACGAAATTTAGAAAGATTTAAAAAGAAACGTACAACGGGAAAGCAGCCTTAAATACAGAAAAACTAGTTTGGGCGAATTATCAGACCGCTCAGTTATATTTTAATTGACTATCATCGCGAAGGTAAAACCTATATATGGCCATTTTATTGCATTTCTGCAATCAATACAAGCCTTCGCAAATCGGCAAATACACTTAACTATATTGAGGATTATCTTGTCATTAATCATGCTTACTTAAGTTATTATCTCGTTTATTAAAACCGAAGTTATTTTTGTACAGACAAACGATGCCGGTATTCGTGGTTTGCACTTGACGTCATGGAGCCGCCATGGCCGCAAAATCTTTGTCTTCTGCATGCATGCTCATGAGCAAGCCCACTGAGATACACTGCACGATTTTCATGTAATATATGAACAACGAGAGCGAGTGTTTCACCGGGATATCCAAACACGAGAAAACAATGTATGAGAACACGAGCGCGAAGCGCGAGTGTTTTCATACATTGTTTTCGAGTGTTTGGATATCCCGGTGAGACAC